ATGAGCGACGGATGAAAACCGAGATTTGCGCAGCGAGCGTTGCGTCTGACGTGCAATTTCCACTTAGTTCATTCGAGGCCAAAAGACAAAAATGACAGTGTTGCACAATTTCGTACAAAAATGATTCTATTACTATATGTTTTTTTTTTCCAAATCGACGGTGTAAGTCGGCAATCACATAACTCGGGTTGCGACGGCGCAGACTTCCTATCATACTTAATTTTTTAACCAGAAAACTACTCAACGGCCATTCTTTAAAACTGCCGTGATTATTCTTCTCTGTGCAAAGAAAATTCTGCAAAAACACCAAGGAATGATGTCAATTTGTTCTCCTTTAAGAAAATAACATAGAGGCGGAGATTTTCAGACACCGCAAACGAGTTATGTGTTTGCCGACTTACACCGTCGAAATGCATAAATTACACAACGAAGGACCTATCTTGTATGCCAAAGAAATATTTTGAGCAGATACAAAAAAAAAAAAAAAAAAAAAAAAAAAAAAAAAAAAAAAAAACTCCGCCATTTTTACCGCTTGAGTTTTTCCAGAATTATTCGAACACAGCTGCTGTGTTAAGGTACTTATGGAGCACACAAAAAGGGTGTTACAGAACTTATAGACATACATTGCGAATAAGCCGCATTTTTTTCCTCTTTCTAGGAACCTTGACATTTTACCGACCTACAGCTAGAATGATAAAAGTCTTTGGCAAAAATTTGAGCTTAGAAACCGTGTTAATGATACAGCATTGCAAATTTTACGATGTTTCGCACTGCAATATGCCTTTGAATATATGCTTAAAACTTAAACCTTGCCTGACTGTGTCACAAAACCTGGCTTTGAGCTCAGACTAAAAATTTCAACAGAGGCTTCTCTCATTACGTGGTTTTATTTTGACTCAATATGTCAAGCAATTCCCCGGGTGCTGGAAGAAGGGTCCCAAATAGGTGCCAGATCCCAAAGGATTTCATTTAACATCGTTATGGCCTTCCTTGTTACGGTGTTTCATTCCTTGATATCTTGACCCGTCCTTCCATCCTGGGACAACCGAACTCCCAAGTATTTATAAGCCTAGCAGCCTCTAAATTGCTGCCCATCCTCCAACTCAATGCTTCACTGATCACCTCCCAGAGTCAGTTTCTCAGATTTGGATGTACTGACCTCCTAACCCCACTTTCGATACTCCTCTGTCGTACTAGCTTACGCATCATGTGCTAAGTGCGCAGTGTCATCTTTGATTATGAGCAATTACCACTCGATCATCAGCAAATCACAGAGTGAACAGAGTTTCAAAATTATCCAAGGGGACACTCATACTCTTTTCCACTCTTTTAGCACGCCTTTGAGATATAAAATACATCGATGATGACGGTGAAAAATAATCTCTGCATTGTCACGCGAGAATTGCGCAAGTAAAACCAGACGCAGCTGTAAATTCGACTTGCTGTTTATAAAAAGGATAAAATAAACGACGAGGCTGCGAATGAAAAAGTGCGTGCTGGAGAAATTTGTCCTCTCATGACCCTCGCACAGAGAATGACACTTTGACTAATGACAGAAAATTGTAAAATTTTCACAGTGAAGAATTCCATTAATTATAATAAAGTTGATTCGCACATTTTGGCGCGTATGCGTAGTATACCGCCTTTGCGATCGTTTCGAGCCCTGCTCGATACAATAACCGAGTCCCTTAGTTCCTTACCGAAAAGTGACACCGCGAACTTCTGAGATCTTCCAAAGCGTGTAAAAAGTTTATTTGTCCGTAAATAATTATGATTTAAAGTTGTTTCTCATTCGGGGGCTCCCTAGTTTACGTGCAGTGAATACCAAGAGTCTACGTTACTTGGTTTTTTTAAAAAAAAAGCCTAAGAATGCGACGCGCTGATTTAAAATATGCACATATAAGCAGAAGCAGACGAACTGATTCGAGGATGGCTGACCAGGCCGGCACTCTATGAATGAGAATTTCACTCACTCCGTTTTGTTCAAAACGTTGCTTTGACAGATCTCCACACGGCTGTTATCCTTTTCAAAATTTGGTATCCCTGCTCTGATAGTGCAATCTGTGCAAGTGCAATCTGTGATGAGCCTCGAGACTCATTAGACCATTTGCTAAACGTGGTTCATATAGGAAGCTACTTGCACTTAAAAAAATCAACCTACCCCTCTCTTCCCCGCGCGCCTAACCCCTGCGTCGGCGACAATGGCCTGTGAGAAAAAGGTGGCCGCCGCCGCGCGCGGAGAACCCGACCCTACTTATTACGCTTCATTAACCATTTCACCGTCACGCTAGGATTCGTCCAATTTTCAAAAAAATTGTTTCGCGTGTACTTAGCAATTTTTTTCTCACTCTTCGTTAAAACACGAATTAAAAGAGGTCTCATTCATAAAAATCGGCCGAATAGAAGAGAAGTTACAGTATTCGAAATCTGAAGAAATCAACAAAACCTCGAATTCTCCAAACAAAAAATAAAATGAAGGGGAAAAAAAGAAATGTATAAATTACAATGGACCACTAGACAAGGCACGAATTTAAACAATCTGATACATGTTTCGTAACAAGAATTTCACGTAGAACATGATTCGTGCAACGAAAATTACTGAAACCAACTCCTAAAGAAGATATTAACGTTTTTATTTCACATTGGTTACGAGAAATTTGAACTGCCCGCTCACAAGAAACTCAAAGCTCTACGTGAGTCAAATCGAGCACTACAACGGTTTCAGCAAGCCTCTCAGTCAAGCAATATACATTTCCCACCACGTGTTGTTTAAATTACAAGCAATTTGATATAGCTGAGCCAGAGTGTCAAGATTGAGGTTGCCAGATTTTTATATAGCAGAGACTGCCATGATAACGTTTAGCGCTCGATGTGAATCACGTAGAGCATTGAGTTTTCATGAGCGGGTGGTTTGAATTCACGCATCAAGAATCACTAAATAGCTTCGTAAGGAGTTAATTTTTGTAATTTTCGCTGTGCGCATCGTGTTTTACGTGAAATTTTGGTTGATTGACATGTATCAGAATGCTGAAATTCGTACCTTGTCTAGTGGTCCATTAGATAAAATTGACTTCAGAATTTGACAAGCAATTCCATTATATAACGGAGAAAAAATTGGGAGTAATTACAAAAAATTCGCCTCTTGCAAGGGACTTCCTTGTAAAAATTTTGACCTGAGGACAAGGGTCGAATAGCAAGAGTACTCCATACAATACTTAGTGTGCCTCAACGAGTTAAACATGTTTTATACATCCAAATCGAATTTTTTTTATATTTTTAACTACAGTGTTTCTTGAGTCGTTTAAGCAAAAAAAAAAAAAAAAAAACATTTGTGTTAAAAAATTCCTAAANCCCCCCCCCCCCCCTGGAGGTTAAGTTAGTTTAGCGTTCTCCGGACGATAGAACTTAACAGTATTTCAACCTGAAAAATGTCCACTCGTAAATTATATTTTCACCGGAAAAAATACAAGGATTGCAAAATCTTTACAATCCGATGATCCTCGGATTGCAAGCTCGCGGTGTGCACTAATCGGAAGTAGTACACCGTACGACATCAAGAAAATACGCCTTTTTCAACAATTTGAACGCGCACCGGCGCACCGTGCTGTACGCGCAATGCATGAAGTATCCTGCAGACTTGCAAGGCGCTATACTACGCGTCGCGCGCACCGTGCTGTACGCGCAATACATGAAGTATCCTGCAGACTTGTAAGGCGCTACTCTACGCGTCGCGCGCACCGTGCTGTACGCGTCGCGCGCACCGTGCTGTACGCGTCGCGCGCACCGTGCTGTACGCGTCGCGCGCACCGTGCTGTACGCGTCGCGCGCACCGTGCTGTACGCGTCGCGCGCACCGTGCTGTACGCGTCGCGCGCACCGTGCTGTACGCGTCGCGCGCACCGTGCTGTACGCGTCGCGCGCACCGTGCTGTACGCGTAATACATGAAGTATCCTGCGATCTTGTAAGGCGCTATACGTTTCGAGTCGTGCGCGCCAGCCGCCACTGCCGCCAGCCTCGCGCCGGTCGCGCTGTGTTTGATGCGATTACTCAAACTTGCGGTGTCAGCGGCTTTCAACTTTAATAAAATGTGTTGGAATTCTTGTCATTACACATGATAAAACATTACAGGAACCAAACTAATTTTCTCCTCTACATTTACATATTTTTATAAAAAGGAGCCAGAATATTTGTATTATTTTTGTTCTTTTGACTTCGCCGTATGATTATTTCGCAAATCACGTGAATTTAAAAAGAGAAACACTGAATGAAATTACTCAAATAAAACGAAGCGTCGGAGTCGTATCAACAACAATAAACATGAAGTTTTCTTTGACTCCAATGATTGCTTCACAAATTATCTAACGTCATGAATTTAGAAGGAAACACACCGAAATTTGTCGAATTAAATGAAACGTCCGAGTTGCGTTAACAACAGTTAAAATATACTAACTAACTAACTAACTAACTAACTAACTAACTAACTAAACAAAAAACAGCTGATGATGAGTGAGGTTTAGTTCTTCATTCATGCTCTGTGTCAACGCAGCCCGCGTTAATCGAGCGATGACATTGACTTGTTAGGTATATTATCTCATCTCCATAAAAGTTTCTAAGAATACCTATTTTTGATTGAATAAAAAACAGTTATACAGAGAATTACTTTAAAAAACAAATCCAATATTGTTTTTTTTTTTTTTCATGAATATAAGACATGAGCAAAGATACTTGTAACGTCGCGACCGAAGATAAGCCTTTTTCAAATTCTGTCATCGTACTTTAGAAACAAAATTATTGATTTATATGCCGATGCTTCCTTCATTCCAAAATACAGAAAATCACTTCATGACAGATTTTTAGTTTTATCATGCGGCATATGGAAATACCGCTGATATACCGGGGGCCGCCCTCAACGATGATACGTGACAAAAGATCAATTTACACTGACCCAGATTTGCAATCATCTGGCTTATGATAAAACCCAGGGATAAAAAACCACGATAGTAAACAAAGATGAGTTTATTCGCAGAATATTCATAGAGTTGTTTGAGATGATTCGATATGGAGATCAGATTAGACTGCAAATCTCATATTAAGCGCTCACTCGAGGTAAGAATACATAAAATTCAATACAGTGACGAAAAAAATCTAAATATCGTAGTGCGAATTAATGCTCTTTTTAATGTGCCATTAAGAGAGAGGTATAGTATAAGTATGAATTTCATCAGCTTCCTCTCTCTGCCAATACAATATTCTTTCTCATTGTCCGCTCACTGGCTGTGCGGTTGAGTTTCATATCTAGATAAATATTTTCCACCAGCAAAATATCCTCTAAATAAATATTAAATTATCTGAAAGACTGTAAATAGAAAAACACCTGAGAAAAACCGTGAAAACAGTCACGCTCTTCGGTTTAATCTCCTATACTCCTCTATCACACAATGTTGCAAAATTCTTCTTACTTTTAGGGTTAAGTTTTCACTCTTCATTAATTGTTGGATAAACAGGTAAATTATCGCTACAATTGGCAACTCTCAGATCCTTGAGAGGCATCCTAACAGATTAAGAATATTTGCGCTCCTTTTGTTGTGTTTATACATCATAACTAACGGGGAAAGAGAGCCAAAAATCGGCGGTAGAGAATTATGACTGATAGAGATACATTTTAGGGGCTTGGAGGACAAGGCTCATGAGTGCAGTTTTTGCTATTCCGAAAAATACGTGTTTGAAGTTTCGAAATTCTATGGATCTTTACGCAGTGAGAAATTTCAAACTGACTTTCTGATGCTTAAAAATTGGAATTTGGGAGCGAATTTTTCACAGAATATGCATCATGACTTCCCAACTCTTGAGGAAACGGCTGCACGGTCATATGTACAACCGGCAAGAAAAGGCAGCTCTACCCCAACATGAAGATGAATTGGGGCACCATTTTGATTTTTATTCGCCCAAAATTTTAGCTGTTGAGTCCCGGGACTTTGCCAGAGGTGTGTTGGAGATGATAAACATCGTCAAGAATAGAGGTGAATTATGCAACTTCAGAGCTGACATAGATGGATTGAGCTCATCACATCACCTGTTTTTCTGTTTCCTCGTTTTAATTTTTACATTTTTTAGCCTCTGTTCCAGTTGAGAATGGGCATGTAATTGGTCCGGAGCGTTCTGGTTTGTTTGATTTCTCCTTAGCCTATATACACATTTGTTTTTTGTATTTTGATGTGTTTCTATTGTTGTCTGCATTCGGGCTATTATGTCTCATATCTCTCTTATCATTATGACTACTTTCTTTTAAATTTATCTCAATTATTGTATCTCAATTTTCTCAGAAACTGCACTTTTGCGCCTTAGCCTCTAAGCCCCTCGTATGTAAGTAGTTGTGTATATTGGTAAGTTTTGCAAATTGTAGTTGCGATAATCGAATGCAAAACCTCAGAGTACATGGATACGGAACTGAGATTGTAAAAAAAACAAGTATGTGCGAATAATTTGTTTTACAGCCTCAAGGGACTTTTAAAATATTTGTTCTAAGTATGTGAGTAGGTGAGAGGTGAAAAAATGGAGCGAGATTACGAAAAAAATTGCGAAAAAAATATTTCTTCTCTTCTCGGGATTGTGCATCGCCGCAGTTTTTACATCGGAGTTTGACTAGAATAACAAACATGCATACAGAAACATTGCGAGATTAATTACATTACACCTCCGGTCTGGAATAGTAGACGGTATGCATTTCTCGCTAGGAGAGCATTTCAACAAAGGATTACAAACTAAGACATGGATCTTATTGTTAATAAGAATTGAAGAACTTTAGTGCAGAATTTTTCATAAAAATTTCATGCAAATTATGGTGAGTACATTGGAAACTATAATAATCTGGATTTAAAAATGTATGTTCGTATTTTAAGGTAAATTAATCAATTCAAATCGACTTCAAGCAATCTAAAACGTCAGAATGCAAGGGGAATGTTACATCAAATGGCGTCTACCCGCTCACAGTTATGATAAATAAATATTTAACATTTTTTTTCACATAATGCCTAAAATTTCACGAAATTCATTAAATCAACTTTGAAAAGTTTGCGGACTTATAAACTATTGACAGATCTTACGAACAGTAATCTTGATGAAGACAGCAAAAATCACCAAAGTATTTGAGAAGTGACACTCATTAAGTAGTTTCTTAAATATTATCCAACAAATAAATACCCAATATCGATCGAGAAACGTGTCTTTCTAATGTAAAAGCATCAGTTCAGACTCTCGTCCGTTTGTTTCAGTGCAGGAATAGTTAGAATTCGCTCAATTACATTAGACGTTGCTTAATTTCTACTAATATTTAATTTTTCTACAAGGAAACGAAGCGAATATTCTGCCTGAGCATTTTATGATCATATGCTTCACACACAGGGAGAAATTCAGGGGGAGCTCAATGGAGTTAAGTGGGTGAATTTCTCTGAAAAAAAAAATAAGAAAGGGGAGAGAGAGAGGCAATTTCAAATGCATTTCGGCTGATTCTGTTTAGATTCCTCCCTTTGACATACTCGACATAAAGAATGAATGTTGGTGTTTGGACGTCAGTTATTGTCTCTCAATTTCCATAAGCAGCGCTATGCTTAATGTCGATGTAACTAATAAAATAATCAGTCTATAATTATACGCACTAAAGGACAAAGAAGAACCCGTGCTTACATTGCTGTGCCAAGGAATAGCGCCGTATGAGAAGTCTCACGCTGCCAAATTCACCCAAATAAAACATTCACTCTACAGAAAAATGATGAACAATTTTCCTCAAAATTTTCAGACACTCTTAAGTAAAGTACCAATAACATTCTTGGAGGAATTTCAAAACAGATGTTCACACGTTACCCCAAAAATTTACATTCAATGAAAGGAAACTTGATAGCATCTGGAGGTTTATACGGCGGTCTTCCTTATCATGACAGTGCGCCATACAGTGGATCGAGTCAATCGGAGAGGTCGGACAAAGTTTGGAACCTTTAAACGCTTATAACTCCGTTTATACACAACTTTAAGGTTCAAAAAGTGGTTTCGTTGGTTTCATCGTGAAATTTTCTTATAGTAGCACCCCTTGAACTTTAAAATGTGACGAAATAAACATAAAAATCCACAGTTCTTGTCGCAAATTCTATATCCAACCTCTCTAATTGACTCGATCCACCATGCGCCAGGCCGAAATTTCAACCCTGACCAGACGCCATCTCCCTCTGAGCCTCTTCATTGATGTCCGGTTTCTGGACCGTCCACTCAGTGGCGACCCTCTTGCTCTTAGACATAAAACCTCGCTCGATCTCGTACAAAGTCTTGTTCTGCGTCTCGGGCAAGAAGAACGCCCCGAGGAAGATGCCGAGGAAGGACATGGCGGCGAAGGTGAAGAGCAAGCCGGACATCCCGAGGGTCTCGATGGACCAATCGTAGCTCTTGATGAAGACGAACATACTCCCGGTGGCGACGACGAAGACGGCGCCGGACATCGACCCGCGGACCCGGAGTGGGAACACCTCGCCCGACATCAACCAGGGCAGCGTCGTGACGCCGATGATCCCGAAGATGATGTACAAGTTGAGTAGGACGATCGGGAGCCAGTCGTAGTTGCGGGCGCCGACCGGCGTGTCGCGGTAGACGTGCTCCCACACGCCCATCCCTATCAGGGACGCGCACATCCCCACGGACGAGATCACCGTCGCCAAGCGCCGGCTCATCCGCGCCGTGATCCACATCCCCAGGGTAGCGTTGATGACGACCCGGATGACGGACAAGATGAGCGAGACGGTCAAGGGATCGTAGGTCGTGCCCAGCCGCTCGATGAAGTCGAGAGTGTAGTACATGAAGTGGTAGACGCCGGTGGCCGCCTGGAGGAAGTGGTAGAAGGACAGGATGAGGAAGGGCTTCCAGACGGTGGGCTCGAGGAAGACCCTGAGCTGGAACTTCTCGGACTGTTCCTTGGAGGAGAGGCGGAGCATCTCCAGCTCGCGGGCGATTCCCTCGGGACTCCGGCCGAGTTTCTGGAGGCTCCGGGTGGAGGCGTCGGGGCGGCCGCGTTTGTAGAGCCAGGCGGGGGACTCGGGCGCCAGGAGCTGGATGAGGAAGTTGAGGAAGCACATGAGGGAGAGGATGGCCGAGGCGATGTTCCACGGGAGGTAGCCGCCGACGACGTAGGCCAGGAGGACGCCGATGACGAAGGCAGCTGAAATGAAGGCGAGGAGAACGCTCCGTTGCTTCTTCGTGCAGGTCTCCGCTAGGTAGACCACCGCTACCACCTCCAAACCTGCAACCAAGATATAGTATAGGAGTTTTACTCTGCCGGGATTATTATCAATGACAAATATAATACAACGAGAATATCTCGAAGGAGCTTTTGCATGTGAGGATATCTGAATGGAGATATTGCATGTATAAGGGATTTGCGATTTGACCATTGATTATAATGTAAAAGTTCCCGGGAAACACGATGGTGCCACTGATTTTCTCTGAAATCATCTCCCAAGCTCAAAAAAAGCTCTCAAAGTGAGACCAAAATGCAGGGGATATCCCACCCTACCCTGAGAGTCCATCTCTACATCAAAACAAACTCTCCATGCAAAGATAGGGAGCAAATACATTAGCAGGGTTGCCGTGTTTTCAGTTTTGGAGTCCCCAAATAAAGTGGCAGCCCTGTCAATGTATTTGCTCCCTATCTTTGCATGGAGAGTTTGTCTTGATGTAGAGGTGGACTCTCAGGGTAGGGTGGGATATCCCCTCCATTTTGGCCTTACTTTGAGAGCTTTTTTTGAGCTTGGGAGATGACAGAGAAAACCAGTGGCACCATCGTGTTTCCCGCGAACTTTTACATAAGAATCAATGGTCAAATCGCAAATCCCTCATACTTGCAACATCTCCATTCGTCGCTTGGCTAACAGAAAGGCGTAACTACAGTTTGCGATGAGCCCGGGAAAGTATTGAGTTATATGGACAACAGGGCTCATCGTCGAGTGTAGGTACGTTCTTACGTTAGGAAGGCGACGAATTGGAAGCTACATTTTCCGAAACTACGAAAAGTTTTAAGCTTTCTTGCTATTTATTCGTGTTACAATGTTTTATCCACGCCAAAAATAAGTGTCGCTGAACATCGAAAAATGCTTGGGCTTACAATACAATGAGAGAATCAATACATTACAATTACAATTGTACTTACAATACATTGAGCGATTTTTATTTTTGGCCGAATTCTCATAGGTTCTGTCGGAACTTAATAAATGGTATCATAATTAAATATCCGTTGTCTTGTTGCCATTTGTATGTTTTATTGTGTTTTTTCTCTAACAATCCTAATTTCCTCCATTTTCAATACGTGTTATTTCTGCTACAAACTGGTCTATTTTCCCCTTCAACGTGTACAATGTCAACAGCCCAAGAAGAACTGCTGGGTGAGAGGAAATCTGTATACCGGCAAAACTGATGCAAGTGATAGGCCCAAAATTCTATACGAGTAATTTAACATTAATACATATTGATGAATTAAGCAAAATCAGCCTAACTGACTTTCCCGTCGTCAAATGTTCTCGAATATGTTATTTTTCAACAGAAAACTGTAAAATACAGGTGAAATTTTGTAATTTTTTCTCGATTATCAAGAATATACTTTCTCAAAAAGAAGGGTACGGATGGGGACCGTTTTTAGGTCCGCCCTGAATTTCTTGAACCATACAATTTTTTGCGCTTTTAAATTTTGCAGATTGCAGCAGGATTTTGCCATTTTTAGTCTTATTTGGGTCTAATACTGTCCTAAACATGGGTGATCGGTGGATCGATTTTGGCTAAAAATGCGGGTTTGCGGTTTCATACCGAAGAATCCGCATAATTTTTTTTCCTTCCCAAAATTGGCCTTCAGGCCCAAGTTTAGGCCAGCATTGGACTGAAAAGAGACAACAAATTATCAAATCATGCTGCTTTCCATAAAGTATATACTTTCAATAAGCAAAATAGCGTGGAATTGAGAAAATTTAGCTTAGGTGGGCTCTAAAACGGCCCCTTAACGGCCCCTCCGCCTCCATTTAAGTACTAGAATAACATTTGGTTTTCCGTTGAAAAAATCCCAACATAATAGAAAATTAGGCAACGTCTGACGTAATTAGGCAAATTCTTGTTACATTCGTCCAACTTTGCCGTGCTAACGAGGAACGCCGTATGAGCCTTCAGGCATTGCCAGATCTCTTTCGACAAATCACGAATTTTCTGGAAAATTTAAGTAAATTTTTCTTCCAATTTTTCCAGGGAATTTCGCAAGTAATTTGATCTAAAAGTTCCGAAAATTTCATGAAAAAATATTCAGAACGTTCTAAAAAAATAATATTTTATGAGAGGCCATTTGGCAATATTCGAATGTTCATACCGACGACGTTTTTCCGAAGCACGGTAGAATTGGTCCTTCGTTCAAATGGACATTCTACTCGTCATACTCACCCAGAGCAAATCCGCATATGCAACGTCCCGCATAAATGTGCCAGACTTCGGTGGCAAAAGCGATGATGCCAAAACCCAGACCCATGCAGATGTGGAAACTCAACAGTCCTAATTTTCGTCCGAACACATCAACGATTGTTCCGATGAGTAAAGATGACACTGGAGATAACAGAATGCCCAGACTTGCTGCAACAGGAACGCAAAATTATGTACCAAACGTTGGCGTCAAAGTAGTGGGATAATACTTTTCCTATGAACTATATTAAAATTAAAGAAAAACTTATCAAAATGCAATTGGCAATTGGATTACATTTTTCAACAAGGAACCGCTATCTCTGGCTCTTCCATGAAAGCGCATTTTTGCATAGGGAAACCAATGGCACATACGTTTTCTTCTAGAATGAGCCAGAAATAGTGGCTCCTCCTTGAAAAATGTTGTCCAATTGTGAATCAATTTATTCGAATCCTGCATCAACGAGCGCGAAAACACAGCGTATCTCCGTTTGCGACGTTGCAGACTTCCTATCATACTTTATTTGCCGTCAACGTCACAAGCCGAGATACGTTGTTTCGCATTTTGGCGAATACATCGTTGAATCAATAAGTTATTGCCGACAGGGTCGGGCTGGCTCGCATCTGAGGGCGTAGACCCTTGGCTGGTTAAAGGGGCGTAATGTGATATTTCTTGGTAGGGCATTGTCAAAGTGGAGAGGGGTTCAGAAAATTTTGGCAAATCAGCACAAGTTTACGCTATTTTCAGGTTCAAAGTTTATTGATCGCACCGAGTAAAAATTGCAAAATTGAACGTGAAGCACAGCATTGAGAGCTCACGCTTCGCGTCATCGCGCCTTCAATTTTTCAGATGCAGCACGGACGTCCATCAAGTACGAATAGTTGTATCTCTGCGCCGTCGTTAACGCGCATCCTTTCCCTCGCTTTATTCCATATTGTGTTTGTTTGCGTTTGTCTTATTTGTAACGCTGCTTCAAACTAGAGCAGAGCATCGCGAGTTCACGACTCACGGCATCGCGTCTTACATTTTTCATATTCAATGTGGACATCCATCTTGCGCGAATAGTTGTATCGCGCGTTTACATTTTAGATGTCTCTTATTTTTGAATTTCAAGATAAATTAAGGTTAAGTTTGCCTGAGATATGCTATGGTATGTCCAAATCAACAGTCATTTGAAAAGGAGGAAATATGGTTAAAGGTCTCTTAAGAGGTCTATAAAGGATGCGTATGTCTAAAAATCGAACCGACCATCGCTTCTAAGGGAGTTACACATACCGAATGAAGGAAAGGGATGATAAAGCGCCTGCATGTCAAGAAGAAGGTGAAAATTTCACAGAAAATTGTTTACGCTTCAGAAAGTAGTTCATGGACCTCTGTTCACCACTATCATGCGTTAAAGCACCTTTCTTTACTCCTAACTCTCTCTTCTTCCGTTCATTTAAGAAATTTTTCTCACATGTTCTCGGTCGTAATTTTTTTTCCTGCTTATTTTGCTATCTGTAAGAGGGACGCGTTTTCGCCGCGCAAAGGGGGCATATCTGCCAATGGCAGATTGGCCTTATGGCCAGTCCGAGCCTGATTGCCGAGTCTTTTTGTATATTAATAGCTTTCAATATTTTTGGAATGTGGTCTTGCGTGTACACTTGTTGTTTTGAGGCCTGCAGAAGACGTTCGAGGCAAACCATTGGGAATGGGCACCCTGCCGTTCTACGGAAGAACGCTGTATGAGCCTTCAGACGTTGCCAAATTCCTTTGACAAATCATGGATATTTAAGAAAATTTGTGATTTTTATGTCATTTTTCTGTCGAGTTTTCAGAGAATTTTGCTTGGATTTTGATCTGGAGTGTCTGAAAATTTCAAGGAAAAATATTCATAACTTTTTTCAGGAATACATATTTTCTGAGAGGGAATTTGAAAACATTCGATTGCTCAAACGGCGATTTTTCGATTTTCCAGTAGAGGATCACTATCGCATTGATATAAATTCTTAAGCAGGTGAGTGATTTTGATAATATTTGCGATTCATTTCTTTCATATACCAGCAGCTACTTCTGACTAGAGAAATGAAGAAGAAAAATCTGCCTTAATTTGAAATTGAATAAATTTGCTTAGCCCACATTGGTTCTCGTCCATTAAACTCAGCCGTCGTTTTCCTCAGAAGCACTGGACTCCATTTTGTTATTAGGAATTACTATTTCTGAAGATTCATAGAAAGGCTGAAAGGCTCCTTTGTGGATAGCCCAAAACTAGTATTTTCTCATCAAAAAATTTAGAACAAGTGTAACTCAACTCATGAAGTTAACCGCTCAACACAATTCGCACCCCCCTTTCTCTTTCCTTCCCCAGAAAAATATTTGAGCTACACCCTTGAGCAACCCACCAATCCACGTTTCCTCCTCGGCCGTTACGGGAATCAAACTGTCTTTTTGCTTGAGTTGGGGCAGGAGCACAGCTGATTGTCCCTCAGTCGTTCCGTTGAAGATGAACACCATCATTGCTCCGTAACCGCACAACATCTGCAAAAAATTGAGCGGTGTTTGTAAACTATATCATCTCATCAGTCCACTCTACAAGGTACTTGACGGATGGCAATGAGACCCACAGATATTTAAAAATTATTTCAGATTTAAAGGAATAATACACGCGCTCCGAGAACCCCCATTGTTGCAGTTGAATTGCTAATTGCTTTAATATCGAAAAGCAACTTTGTTTTAGAGAAACTGTTCACAGAAATGTTCATACATTGAAAGAAAAAGTTGCTGCAATATCGCGGAAGCAAGTGAACAAAAATACTACGAACTGTGCCTCATACATTTTCAACAGACTGGAGCGGTCTAATGAGTTTTAATGAAATTTTTCGTTCAGATTGAAGTCTAAAAATATTGTTAGGTATAACGATCGACAATGTTCCGGGAAGTCGCTGTCGGACAATGTTGGGCAATATTACCGGCAACCTCGCCAAAAATATTACAGCAATGTTGCTATGCAATGTGTCGAAGTTTTTTTTTTTTTTTTTTTTTTTTTTTTTTTTTTTTTTAAAAATTATGTTGCCACATTGTTTTTGCAATATTATCATGCTATATTTATATTAGATACTGCTAAGCAAAACTATATTTTACATGTAGAAATCCTATATTATACATGTAGTCATAATCCTATATTATCCTATATTTTACATGTAGTGGAGATGGTCACCGGCTTCAAGGCGTATGAACCACCCATTGGAAGGGCAGACAGGGCTCTCAGCTGTAGTGGAAGCAACCTGTCTAGGAGAGGAAACTCCGAAATCAAACCCCGGTCCTCCAGGTTGGGGGTTGAGTCATCGGGCTAACTCCCCGATACTCGGAAAAAGGAATACTGTTAAAAGACCCAATAACAATTGCCTCGGTACAAATGGAAATAAACGGATTTATCGGAAAAAATTACGTAAACGGATGATGGTTTTTGGAACATGGAACGTACAAGGAATTTCTACGAAAATGACGGAAGTGGTATCGGAGATAGGGAGTCACGGATTTGATGTCACGGTATTAACAGAAACGAAGAAGAAAGGACAAGGCTCTGTAAGTGTAAAGGAATACGATTTGTTTTATAGTGGCGTGGAAAAAGATCAGCGAGCTCAACAGGGTGTTGCAATTCTTATTCGCAAGAGCCTACGGAAGTGCATCACTACATGGGAAGCTGTTAACCCCCGAATGATAAAGATGAATATGACAGTGTTTGGCCATAAAATCACCATTTTGGGAGTGTATGGAGTCAACGATGATTCCACTGTCGCAGTGAAGGACCAATTTTTCGAAGAATTGAACGAGGAAATTGGTAAGATTGGATCCAGGAGGGAAATCATTGTGTTGGGAGATCTCAATGGTAGAATAGGACGTCAAATTAAAAGTAAGATCGTCGGCCCTTTCGGAGAGGCGGCACTAAATGATAACGGAGCCCGTATCATTGACGTATGTGAGCAAAGGGACATGAAGGTGCTCAATGGGTTCTACCAACACAAGGATATCCATAAATTTACTTGGGTTCAGTCTACTCGCGGATTGAAATCAATCATTGATTATGTGGTTGTCAGACAAGACACGGGAATGAAGATTCAGCAAGTTAGAGTGTGGAGAGGTCTTTCCTGCGGCAGTGATCATTATTTCCTCGGGGCAAAAATAGCTTTCCCAGTGAAAGGGAGCCAGGAGACCAGGCAAGCACAGGAAGAAGTTCACCAACAAAAAGATCGTGTCAAGCTTGTAAACTATAACATTGACAGCTTGCAGCATCCAAGTGTAAGGGCTTTATATGGAAAGCGCTTGGATGAGAAGTTGGGCGAATCAAGGGACGGTGATACCGAACAGCAGTATCAGTTCCTGAAGGATTGCATTCACTCGGCAGCAATGGAAGCTCTTGGTGTCGCTGATGATAGGAAAGTTAGCGAAAAACCTTACTGGTGGGACGAAGAAATTGAGAAGGAGATTCAGGAGAAACGGAAAAAATATCATCAGTTCCTTTCCTCTAAAAAAACAGAAGACAAAGAGGCGTATAAAAAAGCTCAGACGCAGGTACGAAGGCTCATAACCAAGAAAAAGAACGAATCTTGGGAGAGGAGCTGTAACAAAATAGACACGTACATAGGAGGAAGGAAAAGCACTGAGAGCTGGAAGTTGCTGAAAGGGCTGCGAAGGGACATGAAGCGGGACTTAATATCTCCGATATCCATTGATAAACTGGAGGGTTATTTTAAAAATTTACTGACAGAAAGGCGACCTGAATTTCAAGATGGAGGCGTAAGCTTGGAGTATACTAACGATAATCATAACTTGGAGATCCATATGGAGGACGTGGTAAAGGCCGTACGAGAGCTGAAGAACGATAAAGCTCCAGGTCCGGGAAATATCCCTGCTGAGTTGATCAAGTGTGGAACCTGCAAGCTGTTTCAACGGTTGAGATACCTGATGCAAGATTGCTTGGACGGTGGAAAGGTACCGACAGAATGGAAAGAGTCTTGGGTGTCACCTATATACAAGAAGAAGGGTAGAAAAGATGAGTGTGATAACTATAGAGGACTGTCGGTTGCAGGTACCCTGAGCAAAGTGTATGGAAAAATCTTGAAAGCAAAAATTGAAGAGGAGTGGAAAGAACATGAAGCGGAAGAGCAAGCAGGTTTCAGAGCCGGTCGGTCAACGATTGATCACTTATTTACCATCATCCACGTCATAGAGAAAAAGAAGGGAGTTGGCCAGGAATTACATCTAGTGTTTGTGGATCTCCAGAAAGCTTACGATAGTGTGCCATTGATGAAACTTTGGGAAGCCTTGAACAAAAGGGGTTTTAGTGGGGGACTAATTAGTGCTATTAAGGAATTTTATGGTGGGGCTTTCTCTAGGGTTAAATCGCATGGGGAGTTATCGTTGGGGTTTTTAATTACTAAAGGACTGAAACAAGGGTGTTGTTTGTCGCCAACCTTATTTAAAGTGTACCTGGAAGAAGTTTTAAAGGAATGGAAAAGATGCTTTTCGGGAATGGGCGTCCCGCTACGTGAAGATGGCACCCTTTATACTCTGTGCTTTGCTGATGATCAGGTGGTAATAGCTCAGGACGAAGAAGATGCGAATTACATGACGCGGAAGCTAGTGGAAGTATACCGAAAGTGGGGAATGGAAGTAAATGTGGTTAAGACGGAGAAGTTGGTTATCGGTGGTGATCAGCAAAGCATTGAACTGGAGGATGGCCGGAAGATCCTGGACTGTGAAGAGTATAAATATCTCGGAGTTCGGTTAACTAAGGACGGAAATTTGGATCGGGCCATTAAAGATCGGAATGTGCAAGGCAGGAAAGCTATCGCGATGCTAAATGGGGTTCTCTGGGACCAGAGTATCTCCAAGGAGACCAAAAGGAAAATTTACAACGTCATCGTGAAGAGTATCGTAACTTACGGGAGTGAGGTCTGGCAACTTAAGAAAAGAACTGAAGACATGCTTAGGGCAACCGAGATGGACTTTTGGCGAAGGTCTGCTGGGATATCGAGAAGAGAGCGTATCCGCAATGAAAGGGTACGCGAGATAATGGGTGTGGAAAAGGACATCGTGCACGATATCAGGTCCAAGCAGTTGGTCTGGTATGGACATGTGCGAAGGATGGCAGATGATCGGTTGCCCAAGCAGGTCTTCGATTGGGTTCCTCCCGGAAGGCGACGGCGTGGACGTCCTGTGAAAGGTTGGCGACAAGGGGTGGAGGAGGAGATCAGAAGGTGCCAATTGCCTGATGATCTCTGGGAGGATAGGGGGCAATGGCGATTGGGCGTCGCAGAGCGCGAGGCGGCGCTATAATCGCGACTTTATGTATGTAGAAATCCTCTTTGCAGGGTGGCTGAATAATAATGGAATGCCATGAACGCAAAAAACAGCAGGGCGATTTTTGTTCTATTGCCGGTTCTATTTGAAGTGACCAAAATCTAAATTTTTTCTAAGTTATTTGGCGTGAACTTTCCAATCATCACATCGATGACTGGAATATATATGTTCCGTATTTAGAATGCTTTAAAGTCTCTATGCGCATACCATATTTTTAAGCACATAGAAAAACCTATATCAAAACTTAAAATGTTCTCGGATATTTCATGTTTCTCCCTATCCGATAGTTATATACTGTATAAATATCAAACCGTGATGTTGTTTTGTTCTCCTTCTTAAATGTATGGTCAACATGACATTTTTTAACGCAGTAAATTAAATGCGGAGCTGTAGACTTCAGGCATCGTCATTTGCCACCTACTTGAAGAACCGAGGTAATTATTATGGTTTGCCTCTATAAATTAAATCAACTTATTTTCGGGACATTGTGAAAAAAATTCTCCGATTGCATCACCATCGGATTAATACCACGAGCAAACGCATGTTACATCTTAAACATTAACTCTGCATGACAGTGAATAATAAATTTGCCAGCTTAATGATCAAAATGATTCATAAAAAAAAATCAAAATCAAAATGACTTTTTTCATGATGGCTGTGAAGAAAAATTGAGAAACTATATCAGGCTCTGTAAGTGTGAAAATTTGTCTAAAACGACACAATTTTGCATGCCTACTTTTAAAAAGCCACCAGAAAAGATCCTGGGTCTCTCAGAGAGAGTGAAATTTGTGTGTTCAAACTTTTAAAACCAACTTAAAAACAAAGAATAAGTTCTAAAAAGAAATTACTTACTGTCACCCAAAGGGAATTTGAGTACATAAGTGACTTTATAATGACTTTCTCCTAAAAGTGCGATGAGTTCAAATTTTTAAAAATATGACTGGCCGCCTAATGCAGGGTGTCTACAAGTCCGGAATTTCCGGAATGTCCGGAAATAGTGCTGATTTTTTAAGGGCGGTCCGGAAATACTGAAAAAGTTCGGAAATTCCAAAAGAAAGTCCGGAATTTTTTTCATTTTTGTTGCAATTTGAGCGAGAATTCAACATATTCGAATTTCGTGGAATGGAGGTACTGAGAAAGTACTGAATTTGATGGGAATGTACTGAAAAAGTACTGTGAAAGTACTGATTTTTGGCCAGCCTGTTTTAGTAGACTCCCTGTAATGACATATTTTGAGTATTTTAAATATCACATGACTAATGAAAATCATACCATACCGTTTTGAGCCAGCAGCTCCAGCTGACCTCTTCATCCTCCTCTTCTTTTTCCATCCTCGCCGAGACAGCCAGAATAAATCGTGGATCTCTCAAAAATAACACCGAGACGCTCCTCGCACAACGAAGCCGGCCGGCAACTCAGTGGCACCCATAAGGCACGCACCTCGTGAAACAGTCAGAAAGCCTCGCGAGGCCCTTCTCACTACATCAAATCGCGTGATTCGCGACCAATTACTCGAGTCAAGTATCCCTACTCTTCAGAGCGATTCGAGAAGTAGTCAATAACTTAAATAAACGCGTCGAGACAAAATCCGAGGCACTCATTAATTAGCTCAAATTAATTGCTAGTCGCTGGATTCCAACGACTGCGGTAGGAGCTTTATTTGTGAACTTTATGCTAGAGCTTGCAATGGACCACAGAGTAAGAATTAGGGACGTGTTCATCGCCCTTCCTTAAACAGCTCCTCTCTTAAGGAGGCCCCATAATGATGAAATTAATCATTTAATTACGTTATAATTTTAATTAAGTTCCTGATTTTCGCTTTAATTTTAATATCATTAATTTTCTTTGAAAAAATTATAATATCGTCTTTCTTCCTTATCACCTAGAAAAAGGCAAAGACGACGTTTCATGAAAGGATGGTGGCAGGGCGTTGCACGTTAACGATGAAATGTTGCGATATCAGTTGCCCGATTACCACTCGGTAGATAGGCACATGTGGCGTTTGGGTGTCGCAGAACGCCAGAGAGCGTCATAGGAGCGACTTTTATGTTATGTATTAATTTTCTTTAGTTATCGCTTTTGAGTTTAATTTTTTTTTTTTTTTTTTTTTTTTTTTTTTTTTTTTTTTTTTAGTACATATCTTTCAAGAATAAACCATGCTGAAATTTATGGTGAATTTTATTGCGGAATTTATGGTGATCATGGGAGGTTTTAAGTGGTTCTTTACATTCCAGCACACAAAGGATGAGCTCAATGACGAACCTCGGGTGAAATCAATCGGCATAACTCTGGAAATAGACCTTTGTGAGAAATTCCGAAGATTTGCCTCTCCAAAAAATTAAAATTACAAAAAAAAATTGCGGGGGGGATTGAAAAATGTCGAGGGAGGTCCTTAGCTACCCTATAGCTTGTGAAAATCAGGAACTCTCACCTCCTATATTTTTATTTCTTTGCAGTCGCAACTCATTGTAATCTTTGCAAGGGTCCATTTACAAAGCTATAATGCTGGCTTTTACTTAAAATTTGTTCAAATTGCTCAGTTGATGCTTTGTCAAGAATTCCCTTAAATATCCCTTAATCACAATGTTCAGCATTCGGGGCCATTACGGCCCAAAAAGTTATATGTTCTTATCAGAAGTTCTTGCAAAATACCTTGAATATACAAAATTTTCTAAATTAAGTCATAGGTGAAAAATTAACCTTGTGGGTAGTAAAAAGAGGAAACAAATCAGCACTCAGGGAAATCGATCCATCGAAAAAGTTTACCGAAATCAACTGAGTCGATATGGGGCCAGGTTAAAAAAATCACGGCACCTTTAAGCTGCAGTTCCTTGCCCCCTCTCTCTAAGGCACGCAACCATTGTTGCAAAACTTTTAGCACATACATATCAGACGTTCGGCACATATTTGCAATGTATCTCTCGTTCCAGCATCACATCATTGAAATGCCAAACTGTATAAACAGATAGCGATATCTGATCAACTCGGTCAGACATCAATTGATTAAGTGTCTTCTTAATTGGACTGCATTTTGTAACAAGGAACCACTATCTCTGACTCATTTTTTTCATGTTCTGCTAGTTACCCTATGCACACAGGTCAACAGGTGCCTTTAGCCAGATTGATACCTTTATGCAAAATATTGCCAAATTTTACTATACGGTCTGTTTATGACAGAAACGAGCTTTTCTGAAGTTGTCTGTATACCGTCATAATCTCGATGATTAATGGTACCAGACTCATGTGCCTCTTGGATATCTTGTAATTTGCACTTGTAAAGTCCTTGAGACCAACCTGGCTTTGAATGCCATGATTTTGTATAATAAAAGATGAAAGTAAGTTATATCAATATCACCGGAGCTCAGAAGAAAAAGCATCAATGGTCAAATGGACTGCATTTTGCAATTTGGATCTATAAATTCTGGCTCAGCTGAAAAAAAAAAAAACACTTATGTGCATAGGGAAACTAATATCACATACGCTGTTTTTAAACCGGGCTAGCATTTATAGTTCCAAATTGCAAAATGTAGTCCAAATGTTCAATAAATTTTTGTGTGTGAGATCACTCACTTAAAACGTTATTTAAAATATTTGAAGCAGCAATGGGCCTGTTGCAAACTTTTGCTAGAGCAAAACTAAGAGTTGTTTCCTACAGATAATGCCTCAAAAATCACGATGAGCGCATCGGCAAAGTCTGAAATGCACTCATAACTTCACAATCTGTGTAAGAAATTTGCGGTTTTTTGAGCTTCCCGCTTCGAAAACGATACTACGGTACAGGTGAACATTTTGTTAGAGGAGTCGTTCCATTGGCGACAATACTCATCATGGCCGACGCCAGTCCGCCAAAACACGTGTGATGGGACGAGATAACACTTGAACAGGATTAAACCATATAACAATCGGCGTGTTTACGTTCATATTTTCCTCGCCCGCCTTAATTGACCTTGAACTCTCCTCGAATTACGCGAGGAACTGCGCAAGCGTCGGCCATGATGAATATTGCCGACGATGGAGCGACTCCTCTAACAAAATGTTCACCTGTGCAGTAGTATCGTTTTTGAAGCGGGAAGCTCAAAATAACGCCAATTTCTTACGCAGATTGTGAAGTTATGAGTGCATTTCAGACTTTGCCGATGCGCTCATCGTGATTTTTGAGGCATTATCTATAGGAGACAACTCTTCATTCTGCTCTAGCAAAAGTTTGCAACAGGCCCATTGGTCGCATGACGCATGAATCCAGAATATAATTTTTTTTATTCGCTATTATAGGGTACAGTCCTTTTTTATAATTTTTTTTAAGGGTCAAAAATTAATATAAAAGCATGAGGATAATAAAATGTGTACTCAATTGTACTTTTCGTTTATGCAACCGAGCCTTTTTGATCGTTTAGCATGGTTTGAAAGTTCGGTTGAACCAAGAATACGGTTCCTGGTGCCAAGAGAACCGTAACGTGACCCGATTAGCATGACTGATAAAGAACACCCTAATTACGGTTCAGATGATCAAACTATTTTTCTCGGTATACTCTAAAAAGGTAATGCACCGAAAAAAAGTGATGCTTTACATCTTGCTAGATTTACATCTTGACATTGCTGAAGTAACTGCTGTAATGGTTAATTCAACGTTTTTAGAGTTCTCGCACACTTTTTTACATCCAGAATGTTGAATCAGCATCACTTTTTTTCGGTGTGAATGAAACTTTAAGACATACTTTTTTATAATTTGTATTGTTTTATTTATGATGAAACATGGCGTATCATAATTTCTACAGCAAATATGTTCCTGGTTATCAAAATTGCAAATTAAATCGCGACACACACAACAATAAAAATTCTCTAAATGTTAATATCGTCGCCCTCCTGACATAAGGGTGTAAATACACCCTGCAATGAACTCTGTCTTCCCGTATAATTCAATGAATTCCGGGGCTCATCTCAATGTGTGGTTATGCCCTTTTGTTAGCCGGGCGACGATATATCCTCACCTTCCGGTGATATATCACACGCTCCATGCGACGTTCAAAAATTTCCGCCGCCATTTTATTTTTTCCAGAGAAATTGTTCAACGAAGCTGACCGAAAATTTCACTGAATTTTTCTTGTGCTGCCGATTACTAGGAGCGGTAGCGACCCCGTCAAGCCTATAGAGATCTCCAACAACAAAAATGGGAGCCGCTACTGTATCTTACACGAACCCGTTTAATATTCAGTGAAATTTTCAAACAGATCCAACCAACAACTTTTCTGTAAAAAAATAAAATGGCGGCGGAAATTTTTAAACGCCGCACGGCATGGCGCTCGTGATACTTAGGTCGGGAGGTGACGATATTTGGACGTTTTTCTGTCGAACGGAACTAAGCGCCAATTTGAGTTCCTTTTAAGGAATTTAGAATGCCGGATAACGCGTTCTGTCAAACGGAACTAAGCGCCATGGAAAAGCATTGCGAGTATAGGACGGAATGAGCCCGACGCCCGGTTCCGTCGCCAATCCAAGCCCCCCTCTACCTTCCTCCCCCTATGGCGCTTAGTTCCGTTTGACAGAAATGCGTCCATTTCATAGTCGTATCAATTATTCATACTGAATACTATCGATAAAGTTGAAATCAAATTGTTTATCGATCATGTGTTTTACAATTTCAACGAGATAACGAGTAGCTCGCTCACCGCCCCCTCTCAACCGACGCTCAATCAACTCCTCGACGGTGAAAGTCCACCACTTTTCCACCTCTTCCTCCTGCAACAGGATCGGCAGCCAGTAAGCAGCGTGGACGTATCCGTAAAGACCCCGCCTTTGAAAGTCCACAGTAACTTCCTCCAAGGAGGGGAAATCTCGCGGACCCAGATCGGGATTCGATCGCAGAGCCGAATGATAAATCGAGAGCATATCCTCCCAGAACTGAGATCTCAGGTCAGGCGAGGCATGGACGAGCAAGAAGAACGAAAGGTCGATGACGGGTGAAGCGTGACGGAGCATACCGAAGTCGAAGAAAATCACGGCAGAGGGCGAGCCACTCGAGTCGTACCTGTAGAAAATGTTGTTGCAGCCCAAGTCACCATGGCAGATGACGGCTAGAGGCTCTACTGGTGTCACTATCTTCGCCATCGAGAGGTCAGCCTCCTGGATGGCTGCGGAAATACCGGCTAATCTATCTCTATAGTTCGGGTCGTTCTGAAGAGGTAGGATTCCTCGTTTGCCCTGCTCGACGTAAAACTTATCCCATCGCTCCAGGACCCTCCGTCTCGTCCAGAGCGTCTCCTGGATCCTAGCGCCGAGCTCCTGGAACTCTCTCGGAAATCTCTTCTTGCACAAGTAAGAGAGAGCGTGAAACCTCGCGGCCCATTCCAGAGTCAATTTGATGTGCTCGTAGTCGACGAAAACTTTCGCGTCGGCGTGTTTGAACCCGAGTTTTTGGACGTTCTCGATGATAATAATGTTGTCCACGGATGACCCTCCAGGTTTGATCGAGCCGTGAAAGAACTTTGGGAAGATTCTCGTGACCTCGCCGTCACGATCGCATTTTTTGAGTAAAGGGAGGATTTCGGAATAGAAGAGGAGCTCATTTTGGAATTGGAGGTCAGTGTGCCTTTCCAACGACCATGCAACAGTCTCAGAGAGACGTTCAGGGAGGGTTTTGATCATTACACTTTGGGTGAAGGTATCACCTTTTTTCGTCTCCATGACGACGTTGCCAAAGTAGACACTCGATTGGTATTGTATTCCTGCGCTTGTAGATTCGTCATTTTCGTACTCGATAAGTCTCACTTTGTCCGTTCCAAAAGTTCCGTTTCCGACCAGACGTGGCAGAACGTCAGATTTGAGGCTTTGAAGCACGGACATCGTTCAATCACCTCTTGAGATTACGACTACTTCAGATCAAGATCGAATAGCTAATGCGGAACGAGTACGTGTATTATGCGTGGGAGATAACGATATCGGTTTCTCTATCTTCAAGAACGATGATGCACTAGTTTCTTTGATTTAATGTTTGGTGCTTGAAAATATTGCCGGAAGTTTACAAGCCTTTGAGTCTGATGCAATTATTTTCTCGTAAAATTGTCTCCAGATATCGTTCCTATCCGTATGATTTTCATAGCGACCGATGAAACTGATGACGTATCCACTGATTCACTCTTACGAGCAAGTATCTTATACGAGCGAGGCAAAAATACCGCACGGTTTGTTGTTTTCATTCATTCGAAAACTACCACGTAAGAGTAATTTTAAAATTTGTGTATACTTTCACTTTTTAAGCACTGTCATAGAGCACAATTAATTGTTTTCTGCACTTTGATTGAACCAATGAGCTTTTATTCGGCCGAGGGACAAAATTTATTATTGCTTCATGTATTTATTTTGAAGTATCAGTTCGAGAAATACTGGAGGATCGCTAGATGAGGTTAGGAATTAACCATCATACATCGTACATCGTTCTCAATCAAAATTTCACATTTCTGTCCACTACCATAAAGACGTACGTAGTTTTTTTTCGTAAGCGGGAATTTTGATTTGACTGATGTAATTTTAAGAAAACCGCTAACCTCTCACTTGTAGGTAGATTTTGGAAATTGCATAAATATAATTATGGTGTTTCTGCATTGAAATTACCCGATGTAACATGTATTTTGATTATTCAAGTCTTACCCTGTCTTGTAAATGATGGACCATTGAGATCAATGCTTGGAAAAATAAATATTCCAGATCGTTTTTTCACATTTAAAGAAGGTCTCGCACAAATACGAATAACTGATTACGTATAAGAAACGGAGGAGAGGGGGAGGAGAGACCGGTAACAAAATCAGCGATACGCACGAGACTAGGAGGAAAATAATAATTTTATAATCGATGGCGGCACACGAGATCACTAACGTTCCGCATTTTTATTTACTTTTTGATTCGCGGAGCTTTGATACGGGCCGGCTTCACCGTCAATTATCACTGAGAATGCTCAGTGGAGAGAATAGAGTAGAACTTAAAGGATAGTAAAGTGTTTTGTATCATTTTCGAAGTGCGCGCACCCGACGATGGAGGCGGATCGTATGCACGCTTCATTATCAATAATTGGAAGGTAGGTCAAGCCTCGGTCACACTATCAATATTCTCGTTGAAATCTCAAGGTCACGAAATCAGTTTAAGGCGGAATAAACGACTTGTCCATCAATATTTAGCAGGCCGTTAAATATTGACTGCAGTGAATAGATATGACGTCATATGTTTAACGCGTAATCTCGAGATACTGACAAAAATATTGGTGGTGTGAACGAGGCTCAATTCAAATTCCGCGAAGACAGACGGAGAGAGCATTGTTGCCGGTCTCATACAATCCGGGCAAATGTCTGTACCTATATCTCCATCACGGGTTAGTAAAATCGCTGAAAATGCCTAGAAAGCGCGAGTAGGTATGACTGCTGCACTTTGGGTAGACTGTCAAATCTTGGGAAGATCGAATTTTTTAAAATTCCAAATAAAACGTTAAGTACCGGTTTTTCAACTTGAAACATGTTTTATTCTCTTGCAAGTAGACAGAAAAATATAACATTGTAATTAGCAGCCGAATTTAAACGTGGATTTTACGATCTCTCAGCAATGAGCGTCAAGGAGAGATTGTAACACAAATAGCACAATAATTACAAGATCTCAAATGATAATATTTCAGAAGGATGTCTTATTTTTCTACGTTAAAATCACTTAATATTGACTTGAAATACCCCAATTGAATCGATGTATGCGAAAACGTCCGATGTCCAAGACAGTGTTTCAGAATTTGAGTAGACAATTTTGTGGTAACTTAACGACACAAGATGGTTTAAGATGTTAGGAATGTAGAAAACTTGTATGAATAATCCCCTAAAAGTAATTAAACGTTTACAAAAGAGTTAGATCTTTCATCAGTGTCGTGGGACAAAAGAAGCCCACTGCAATTATGAAACCCTGTATTGGACAACGTACGTTTTTGCATACTTCGATTCAATTAGAGGCGGATATGAAGAACACTAAACAAGATAGCGTCTGGATGCAACTATTCGAGCCCCGCGGATGTCCGGGTTGCATACGCACGGAATTAAAGGCGTTTTGATTCTTCATGTACTCACCGCTCCACCTGCGGCGGCGGGCTTCGCTGCGAGGATCCAAAATGTTAGAGCGCCTTCAATTCATTGTTAGCACAGCAAAGGCATCTCTTAATCAGGAATAGTTGTGCACAGGCGTAGGATGTGCACATCTTTTATGATTCAGTCTTGATCCCGCGATGTTCTGAGCATAATTTGTTGAGCAACTGTTCGAGTTCGTGCTTGAGAGATGTCTATGTGGTGTATACGGAAAATTGAATGGCTGCCACCATCAGTGTAAAACTTGAGGAGGGTATGGATTCGATCGACATGAATCGATCAGAAAATGAAAACGTGAATCGATCGACACCGATTCGATCGACAAATTGTTACGAAACCGGTGTCGATTCGATCGACATGAATCTATCGACAAACGAAAACGAGAATCTTTCTACAAATTATTAAAAAACCGGTGTCGATTCGATCGACAAGGGTGGATCGAAAAATGAAAACTTGAATCGATCGACCCCGATTCGATCGACAACCGTGAATCGATCGACAAACCTGTGAATCGATCGACAAACCCGTGAATGGATCGACAAAAGCCGTGAATGGTTCGACAAATGCGTGAATCGATCGACAAACCCCTAAGTCGATCGACATGCCCGTGAATCAATCGAATTGGTGTCGATCGAATTGGTGTCGATTCATTCATGTCGATCGATTCACGTTTTCATTTTTCGATTGATTCGTATCGATCGAATCCATGCCTTCCAAACTGGAGGGGTTATTTAGACGTATTTCAGCTGGTTTTGCCTGATGATTTCTGGGAGGATAGGCGGCAATGGCGATTGGGCGTCGCCGAGCAAGAATTAGTTAGTTACTTAGTTAGTTAGTTAGTATCTTTCGAGACGTTCAGCGTGTTGCGCTGTGAAAGCGACTTTATGTATGTATTTCTGCTGAACGGATTGCTATGGATGAGTGGAAGAGATGGGTTGTGCTCTAGAAAGCTGCATGAAGCATATGCATACCTTTTTAAAAAATAAATTGATTATAGTCTGAATTAAAATCAAACACTTTTCCTGCCAAAATTATTTTATTGATTTATTTCTAATTAACACAAATAGGCTTCTAGGAAGAAAATAAATGGTGGTTTTCTTCAGCTATTTTCAGACTCTTTGGATCCTCCTCCGTCTTTTCTCACAGGAGGACAGCTGAGCTCGGGAGATTGGCCACTCCACACGTGTTATCACCTCTGTATACGTAGAAGTAGCCCTGCAATCAGGAATAAAACAAGTTATGAAATATGAACGTTTAAAAGCGTTTATCGTGTAAAAGAAGGGAAACAATTTACATACATATCCGACTGACATATTACATATATTTCAGACTTCTGAATTCATGAAATTTGTATTTCTTTACCAGAGAAACAAACAAAGTAAAATCTTAAAATTTCCGGAATTTTTGTCGGATTAGAAAGAATACACTTAATGTATAAGAAATTTAATTAGTTTTTTGTTGAAAAATTAAATGTTCAGAAAATAGGCAAGGCACAGTAAAGTTGATTCTAGCTGAATGTTTTCAATATAATGAGAGGCTGGAATCCACAAGAGGGTTCTGAAATCATGCACATTGCTGTTTTGCCTTAAATCGAGATGGCGGGACAGTGATTTATATCAAAACTAAATTAATTATTTTGATGCCAACTCTATTTCTCTACACATTCAATTTTCCAAGAATGACGATAAATAAAAATAACTGTACAATCTTAAATTTCTTTACACTGAAATAAATTCTTAAATTTGCTGCCAAAAATGTTTTTATCTTGAGTCAAGAAAAGCTGCTTGCATTGAGCTACTTTCAGCTTAACTCCAGCATTTTCTTCTTGTCCCAGGAGTAATTCAGCGTTATATGCAGTGTTCGAAACCCACAGGCGCCAACGCTCCAAATGCGCCTAAGAAATCAGTCTTGGCGCCTATAAAATGAAGGCTCCGCGCCAACGTTGCTCCTAAAAATTGCCCCCGTCGCCCCCCCCCCTCTCAAAAAAATCCTAATTTTTCTGTTTGGTGATTTTTCGAGATCTCCTGTAAGTTACAGCAATTTGTAACTATTTGTAAAACATCTTGCGTCTAACTTTTCACTAAATGCGCCGTAATATGAGCAAAAAGTTAATTTGGCCTCTAAAAAATCTTCAGTGGCCCCTAATTATCAAGCTTCGTGCGCCACATGGCTCCTAAAACTCAAAGGTGAGTTCCAAGCACTGGTTATATGTGACAAAAAAAAAAAAAAAAACTTCGCAGTGGAAAATTCGTATATCATCCAGATTCGACTGAGCGCTTGTTTTTTCAGTGATTGGCAAAGCCGTTCTTCGTACCGTATAAATGGAGGAAAGGAAATTACTTACGTGGAGAAATAATTAGATACAGAGTTGGATGTGACGTTAACTCACCTTGTCGCACAAATGCGTACCCCAGCTATTTTTCCCGATCCAGAATGGAGTGCGTTTGACTTTTCCTTGTACCTTCTCCACTGCAAAAAGGAGTGAGAGCGAATGATTTATTATTTCTACAAAGCTAGCTTGCTCTGTCAGAGAACCTGACTTTCTATGAGAATATCCTCATATTGACACCCAGGCACCTACTTAAGGCAACTGAAACAATAGGTCAGTCGTGCCGGTCACAGAATCGTATTTGATGTTTGATCAGCTAATAATAATAAGATCTGCACAAACAGCGACTCTCTGCGTTCAGTACTAACCGAGGAATCGCGCTTTGGCAAACTCGTTTAATGACGTCATCCACCCCAGTAGTGACACCCTTGGTTTCTTCCATCTTGCTTTTATCTATCAGGGAGACACACATTTTCAATAGTTACTTAACGTGAAATTCGGATGAAAGCAAGGTAGAAGGAACCAAGGGGGTCAATACCGCGGTGGATGACATTTTAAACCGAATTTTTCTAAGCGCGATATCTCGGTTTATTGAACGCATAGAAAGTTGATAATTGAACGGATCTTATTATTTTTCGCTGATCTACAAGAATCAAAACAGGATTCTGTGATCAGCGCAACAGACCCATTTTGCAACATTTTACAGTGCACGATAGTTGAAATCGCAGTTGCCGCAGTGAAATGTCGCAGGGTGAGGCCACTACACTTAAGGCTCTCTGGCCAACAAATTTTCATTTTTTGTCAGAGTTCGTTTTATCGCTCCACCGGGCCGCTTTCCATACTTTTTGCGGCTTTTGGCAGGCCATAGTTTTTAGATGAGCCCGCTCTTTTCAGATTTTGGAAACTTAACTGAAGGGTAACCCGCAAGCGGACTTTAGAGGGACTGATGCCCCGTCTTCGGACTGGGCCGCGTGGCTCCCTAGTTCCTACTATCCCTAAATTGATTAAAAGATACGTACCCTGTACTCCGTAGCCGACGAATGCAATTCCATGGTCAGCTAGTTTCAGCTCTTTGCTACAACCGCTTTCAGAAGGATGTGCAATCCCACCACGGTAGCCCTAGAATTGATAAAAAAGAAGTTGCGCCATGAAATATTGCATTTTACAAAAGAAGAAAGTGTCGACACGAGGAAATGTCTGAGTGCAGGATTTTAGTTATATGTATGATGAAACTAATAGTAGGAATGTGAGGCACGGGCAGTTTGAGGTGAAATAAGTAACATCCAATGATCACAAGCTCAATATGTGAGCCCGTATACCTAGTTTGCACCGTACCTAGTTTGCACTGTACCTAGTCCATTATTTTGAGAAAAAACGAACTACAACTATTCCTTAAAATGTTTACAGAGTATACAGAGCACAGTTTACCCAATGAAAGAGAATAAAAAAGAAAATCGGAGCTAGAGGTTTTCAAGAAATAACGTCGAGCAATTTTTCATTTAAAGAATTACGTGTGCAGCATGTCGCGTGCAAACCGCGGCACGGGTACGCTTTGCGCCGTTCCACCGTCGAAGTGCTATTAATTTTTTTTTGCAACAAATAGCACATTTCTTTGAGGACATGTTGTGCTTGAATGAGTTTTTTCCCTGCATTGCGCAGATTTTCAATTTTATACTGGAAACGCAAGATCAACGTTTCTGTGCAACTAACGTGCATAGAATCGCAATATGTTTGTATTCCATAATTGCAACTTATCCAAAAAAAGGATCTGCCGGTAAGTGCGAAAATTGCGATTATTCGGTCGCGCCGTTATCCGTTCCCCGAATTGTTCGGACTTCAAATATATCTGGCAAGAACGCACGGTCGGGGTAAGTCAATTTTGGACTTACCGGTACTAGTTTCAATTAAAATTTTCGGTACATTTGGATTCTGACTGAACGATAAGACTAGGGAAGGTGTTGTTGATTATTCGAATTTTTTCGTCATTCGGATCGGTACGGTTCCAATCAATATTCGCAACTCTTGCGTGCGCTGGAATGTTAATGGAATGATAAGAGCTTTCATTCATGTTAAACTTTAGTGCAATATTAAGGATAGCTTAAAATTGACTACCTTGAAGAGTGAGTGAGGGGCGGGAGGCAGAGTTCCTTGTTGTGGCGTAGGTTAAATACTTGTAGCTTTTGGTGCATGAAAAATGAAGGAGCTGAGGATAGATTTGATATTGGACATATATGCATAATAAAAAATTGTGCAAAAGCAGCGTGTCTATTTATTTCATTTTTTTTATTTTTTCATTTTTTAAACTTGTTTCATGGAACAGATTAATGATTTTGTTGTTGCGTGAGAGAAAAATTCCGGAGACTCGAAAAGAAAATTAAAATTTGGAATTTTAAAAAATGGGTAAATAATCGTACTGAAAACTCGATAAAAAATTACGACATGCGATACAGGTGTGAAAGTATGCTTTTTTTGTAAGGGGTGGGGGAGAGAACACGCAATGCTGTCCTGATTTTTAAAATGAGGCAGGAGCCCTTGTGAGCTTCTCTCAGATTTCATGCCCAATTGCATTATACCTCGTGATGCCATATTTCATACGCACTGAAACGATTGTACACGTTTAACTCTCGGGTGTGTTACGTTTTATAAAAATGAGATGCCCATTGATAAATCATCGTTCCTTTTCAATTTAACCTCAATCTCATCGAGTTGTTACTGAATGAGTCAACAGCGCAACAGTTATTGCTGCAACACCATTCATATCATACAATAATGTTTTGAGTTTAGGTATGTGAAATACACTCTGTTTATTTGTGTCGTTGAAAAAAAGAAATCTCAAATGCAATACATTCTCGGCCGGAAGAAAATTTACTTACTTACTTACTACTGGCGCTACAGCCCGGGGTGGGCTTTGGCCTCCAAGACAACGCGCCTCCATCCTGTTCTGTCCATGGTCTTTTCCTTCCATCCTGATACGTTCATTACTCTGAGATCTTTCTCTACTTCATCTTGCCATCTCAGCCCTGGCCTTCCTCTCTTTCTTTTCGATAGAACTTTGGCTTTCATGATTCTCTTTGGCATTCTTTCCTCCTTCATTCTGCTAACGTGCCCTAGCCATTGAATTCTTTGCGATTTGATGAATCGAACTATATCTTCTTGTTCCAGTATCTTGTCGATTTCGCCGTTGTTTCGAATTCTCCATTCTCCATTTTCTTTGATGGCTCCAAAGATCCTTCTTATGATTTTTCTCTCAAATCTTCGCAGCATGCTCTTGTCATTCTCTGTCATAGTCCATGTTTCTCCGCCATATGTAACAATTGGTCTAATAAGGGTCTTATATATTTGTAACTTGGTCTTCCGAGATATCAGTCTGCTTTTGATTAGCCTCAAGTTGGCATAATATGCTGCATTACCCGTTTGTATTCTATCTTTAATGGACGTAGTTGTTCTGGCTTCATTATCGATTAGGTTTCCCAGATACTTGAACTTTTTGACTCCTTCAAATTCTTTGCCATCAATTATTAAGTTTTGCGGTTTTCTTCTTGACTCTGAGGATGATAATATCATGTACTTGGTTTTAATTACATTTACCACTAGTCCTAAATCTCTTGCTCTTTTTTCCAATTCTTTGTAGATCTCTATTAATTTTTCTTTAGTTCTCGCAATTAGGGCAATGTCATCTGCATAGGCACATGTTTGACTAGATTTCGTGAATATTGTCCCTCTTTGGTCGACATGTTTGACCGCCATGTGCAGCGCTATTATAAATAGCGTACTTGACAATCCATCCCCTTGCTTCACGCCCTTGTTAAAGTCGAAAACATTGCTCACTTTATTTCCTATTTTAACCTTGGCTTTGGTGCTACTCATGGTCATTGTTATAAGTTTGATGAGCTTTCTTGGTACATTCATTTCATCCAGGGCCTTTATGAGTGCCTTTCTATTGACACTGTCGAATGCTTCCTTGAAGTCTACGAAGAGCATGTGTAAATCGATTCCGTACTCATGACATTTTTCCATGGTTTGTCTGATCACAAATAATTGATCGGCTGTGCCTCTTCCTGTTCGGAAGCCGCATTGGTATTCACCTATCTCCTTTTCGACTACCTTCTTCAGTCTTTCATTTAAAATTGATGACATTATTTTATATGCCGTGCTTAAGAGTGTAATGCCTCTATAATTCTTGCATTCTAATTTGTCTCCTTTTTTGAATATTGGACAAATTGTTCCGATATTCCATTTTGATGGCATTTTTTCAGATTTCCATATTGCTTTTATTAATTCATGTATTTCTTTGATTAACATTTGTCCTCCATTTTTAAGGAGCTCTGCTGTAATTCCATCTTCGCCTGGAGCTTTGTTATTTTTCATTCTTCTGATTCTTTCCGCAACTTCTTCTATAGTTGGTGTTTGTGATAAATCATCCTCATTTGTGTGGTCTTCTTTTTCCATTGTTTCTTTGTCGTTTAGTATCATCCTTTCCTTTTCATTTAGCAGCTCTTCGAAATGTTCTGCCCATCTCTCCATTATGTCCTTTTCTTCTCCTAGTAACTGACCATCTTTACTTCTGCACCCGCTTGTTTTCGGTTGAAATCCTTTTCTCATTCTATTAACGGCAGCATAGAATTTTCTACTTTCATTTTGCTTGCTTAATTGTTCTATTTCTTCCATTTGTTGTATCATTGCTTCTTTTTTCTTTTTTCTAAGAAGCTTATTAGCTTCTTTTCTTGCTTTGTGATATCTTTCTTCATTTCCTCTTGTGTTTCTTTGCAGCATCTTTTTTCTTGCGTCGTTTTTTTGATCTATGATGTTCATGCATTCTTCATCGAACCATTCTTCATTTCTGGTTTTTCGTTTTTCTCCAATAGTTTCTTTTGCTGCTTCTAAAATTGCTTTCTCAGTTACTGTCCAAATCTCTTCAGGCGTTTGATCCCTTCCTTCCATTCCATCTGTTTCTTGCGTTAGCTTGCTGTTCAAGACATCCACGTACTTCTTTTGTAATTCTTTATTCTTGCTTAAGTTTTCTGTGGCCCAGCGCTTCACTTCATGTTTGGGCCCTTTCATTACATTTGCGATTCTTTCTCTAACTTTAACTTTTACAAGGAAATGGTCTGAGTCGCAGTTAGGCCCTCTGCAGCTCTTTACATCAATTACTGATGACATATGTCTTGAGGATACTAGTACGTGATCGATTTGATTCACTTCTTCACTTCCTGGGATCTTCCAGGTTCCAAGGTGGATTCTTTTGTGATCGAATGCTGTGCTTTTGACATAAAGTTTATTTCTTGCTGCGAATTGTACCATCATGTTACCATTATCATTGTTTTTCTCATGTAGCGTGTGAATACCAGCTACTTGTTTTTGGTCTTCGTTTTTTCCAACTTTTGCATTGAAGTCTCCCAAGACTATCAGCATGTCATGCTGGCTTACTTTTGTACACACTTTTTCGAGTGCCTCGTAGAAACTTTCCTTTTCCGTTTCTTCTTTCTCCTCTGTTGGTGCATGCACTGACACAATGGTGATATTCCTAAATTTTCCTTTTACTCTTATTCGGCAGATTCTGTGGTTGATATTTTCATATTCTAGGAGAGTATTTCTTGCTGCTTTGGATAGTAGGAATCCTGTGCCAAATTGCCCTGTATTTTCACTTGTTCCACTGTATATCATGCTGAATTCTTTCTTGTCTATTCTTCCTTCTCCTTGCCATCTGATCTCTTGGACGGCTATGGCGTCAATGGCATATTTCTGCAGTTCTTTGGCCACTTCCATCATTTTCCCTGCCTTCTTCATCGTTCTTACATTCCATGTGGCTAGTATAATGTCCTTGGTTTTTTGGGGTTTTTTCCGTGATCCATACTCTTTAGGTCGCTTTATCCGTGGGTTTTCTGGGTACCGAGGCTTTGTCTTGGTTTTCGTAGCTTTGTTTTTTTTTACGTGGTAGGGTTGCTAGCCCTACGCACAACCCTCCTCCTTTTCCTGGGCTTGGGACCAGCAAGAGAAAAACAACTCTCCTCTAGGCGGAGTTGGAAGAAAATTACTCACATGAAACATATGAAATCCTCACTTTGATTCACAGGTTCACTCAATTGTCAATGACGAGGCAAAAACACGCATGTAACTTAACGTGAAAAATCGAAAATAGAAGCACATCATAGTTTTTTTTTTTTCCCCCTTCTTTTTTTGCATTTTCTGATGGTGTTTGCCAGTTTTGTAATCATAGACAAAGAATATTTCTTGTTAACCATAAGTTTTGGAGAGGAGGCATTTTTATCTCAATTTTTTGGCATCTTTAATCTGCTATAGTTTTTAAGGATTTTAGAAATGAAAGTGTACGAGGTAGCTTGTTTTAGCCTTCGCTTTTTGCCTGTAAATGCCATGAAAACCTTTGTTGATGTTTCACAGGGGTAGGAATCATGTGTGCATTCAAGAAGAGAAAAATTCTGTTGGAATATCAAGCATTACGATCAGCACTTTCTGTTTTGGATTTTCATTTTAGAATTTTTATATTTTTATATTCAACACATATAGAATATAATTTTCCGGCGTCTCATCAAAAGTTTACATGGAATACCTACTGTCAGTTAAAAAATATCCTGGCTTAAAATTTCTTCACTATACTTACTTATGAGTGTAAAGTTGCTATTTTTGAAGAAGCGGGTTACTTGTTCCTGCGAAAAATAGTTTTTCATAACCCGCCATACTATGCTCTGGTTTCTACTAGTCGTGATTTTCAAATTTTGAAGATTTGACTGGAAAGGGTTACCTTAATACTACGTTTCACAAAAACCGACAGGAGCCGAGATGACATTTTGGGCCACGGCCGCCATCTTGGGTTTACGAATTTTGGAAATTTGAGTTTCCCGTCGAAAAATACCCCGTGATACCGAGTTTCAGCGAACTCGAACGAAGAGAAACCGAGATTGCGTATTAGGCCACGTCCGCCATCTTGGATTTAAGAATTTTTAAAAATTGACTAAAAATTCGAGTTTCCGGTCGAAAAATACCCCGAGACACCGAGATTCAGAAAAATCCATCGAACAGGAGCCGACATAGCATTTTAGGCCACGTCCGCCATCTTGGATTTGAGAATTTTTAAAAATAGTAAAAATTCTAGTTTCCGGTCGAAAAATACCCTCAGACACCGAGTTTCAGTAAAAACCATCGAACAGGAGCCGACATAGCATTTTAGGTCACGTCCGCCATCTTGAATTTGAGAATTTTCAAAAATCGACTAAAAATTCGAGTTTCCCGTCGAAAAGTACCCCTGATCCCGCGGTTCTCAAAGCTCTAACGAACAAAAACGGAGGCCAGAACCGGGGCTCATTTTAGGCCACATCCAACATTTTGGAGTTGAGAATTTTAAAAAAATTACTAATAATTCGAGTTTTCTGTTGAAAAATACCGTGTAATACAGCGTTTCACAAGACTCGAACAAACATAAACCGAGATAGCATTTTAGCCCACGCCCGCCATCTTGAATTTGAAAATTTTAAAAAATGGAGTAAAAATTCGAGTTTCCGGTCGAAAAATACCTCCTGACACCGAATTTCAGAAAAATCCATTGAACAGGAGCCGAGATAGCATTTTAAGCCATTTCGGATTTTCGAATTTTGAATTTTTTGAATTTTGACAGATTTTGATTTAAAACGCGTGTTCCCAAAATCGAAGTTCAGATTCGGATTTCTCGTAAAAAATCGATGCGATTTCATGTATCATACCCTGACACCGAATTTTAGGAAAATCCATCGAACAGGAGCCGAGATGGCATTTTAAGCCACGTCAGTCATTTCAGATTTTCGAATTTGGAAAATTTGACTTAAAACGCGTGATACCCAAAATCGAAGTTCAGATTCGGATTCCTCGTTAAAAATTGATACAATTTCATGTATCATACCCGAGCATAGCGTGAAGGAAAGAGACGTAACGTAGACATACTGATTCGAGCATATGAATGCAACATGGCAACATGGGTAGTGCTCAGTGGGTCAGCGGAGGAGGGAGAATAAGAATTTATCGTGAGGAATTCTTCGGGACGAAACCGAAACCAATTGCTTAGCGCCGGCGCCTCCCCGTTCAGTTGCATCTCGGGCGACCGGCGCGGCGCGGCGGCGTAGTTCAAACGGCCAGTATGACAGATTCTATACGCGTCGTTAAACCTTTTTCCTTCACGCTATTATAACATATGATACATGAAATCTCATCACTTTTTCACGAGGAATCCGAATCTGAGCTTAGATTTTGGAAATTATGCGTTTTAATCTATTTAAAATCGTAAGAGAATTTACAGAATTGTCCTTGAAAATTGATCACACATTAGTGTTTTTTTACGTCATTAAACCTTTTTCCTTCACGCTATTTTAACATATGATACATGAAATCTCATCAATTTTTCACGAAAAATCCGAATCTGAGCTTAGATTTTCGATATTGCGCGTTTTAATCTATTTAAAATCCTAGGAGAAATTACAGAATTGTCCTTGAGAATTGATCACACATTAGTGATTTTTTACCCCGTTTTTCTTCTACGTTCACGTAATGAAATTAGATCAACAGTTGACTCATCGACTAGTCTAGCCTAACCCCCCAGAATCGGTCTAAAGGGCGAACGATTTTATCAGATAAGATGTGCGGTCCTAGTTTCCGGGAAATTGCGGTTTGATTGAAGCAACGATGAGGAGAAACGGGAGATATGCGAAACTCGGGCGGATATTAAGTGAGAAACCAAATAGGGGAAAGGCTTTCTTCCCGAATAGTTAGTGCTCAGGCCAACTTACATGGTCACTGGAGCATTGTATAGCAGGTTGTGGGAAACTATTTTTTTGCAGCAACAACCAATTGGATTGCATTTGGCAAAAAAGAACTAAGAGCATTTCAATGTTGCTGGGATTGTGCAACTTAGGTACATTCTTTGCAAAAAGTAAACTTTGCGACGGTAATTTTCGTCCTGAATTCATAGTTTATTGGGAGTAGAGGTGAAACTAGTTTAGATGATCGTTTATGTTTGCAAGGTTAGCGACATTGGAATGCTCTTGCTCACAGGTACAAAATTTGCACCATCAGAACTAAATTTGACGTATGTATGCTAGAAAGAAGTATGTTGCACGTAAATCCTATGCATATGGTTCCTTTTATCATAAATATACGTCCATATTTCCAATTTCGATAAAATTGTATTTTTTTACTCAATATAACCACTAGGAATCCCGGACAGAATTTTTTTTTATCCAAAACTTTTTTTTTTCTCAACAAAATCTCACGCGAGGAGCACTCACCCACATTCCGAATGAATCAAGAGCGATAGAGATGGGCCCATTTTTGAAAATATAAGCTGCCATTTTTTTTTCTTTCCGTGGGGGCAGCATAACGTTTTTCTTCACTTTGAGAACGGCCAGATTCTTGTCAAAACGGCATGTCTGGTCGCGGGCCACGTACGGGTATGTCGCGTTGAGCTGCAACCCGCCAGCATCTTTTATATAGTTGACGGCGTTCTCCATAAAACCTCCCTTGCACCCATCCGACTTAGGATCACAGTCAACGAGTTCTGAACATACGCAAATTGTAAAATAAAATTACTTAGGCAAAGTTTTGGGAGTCGCTCGGCTTACACTACTGTCATAGTCGTTTCTTGGGCAGCTCCTTTCCTCAGGGAGGCCCTAAAAGGCTTACATTCTGATTTCAGAGGCTTTAAACTCAGCATCATAAATAGGTCGATATTTAGGGTCCTGTATAGGTCTGTAACATAGAGTACATAGAGTCGTAATGTAAATGGGAGAGCTGGCGCCATGTTCTGCTCGACGAATTCCGAGCCCGGTGTGCGCCGAGTTCGGGTCGCTTTTTCGATACATTTTCGATCCAAAATGGCGGTGTGGAATACGTGATAATTCCTATCTCTTTTGTTGTTGTTGTTGTTGTTGTTGTTGTTGTTGTCATCGGATGGCCGGGTACCCGTGTATCGCAAACAATCGATTATGTATCGAAAAAGTGACTCGGCGTCACACAGGAGTCTCGGAATTCGGGACATGGAAAATGCTTAAAAGTGGCGCCAGCTCTCCCACTTACATTACGACTCTATGTACTCCATGATAGATGAGTACGATTGAAAATAACTTTAAATAGGCCCTAAGGATTATAATGATATGCCATTATAATATGTTCAAAACTCAAAAGGAAAATTTTGCAAATTTGGAGATTTTAAGTTAGTTACCGCTGCCTTACACCGGAAAAAACACATTGGATCTAGAGTCCAGACTCTTAAAAACATCGACGAGAAAAAATACTCTTGATTCAATCGGATGTTTGCTTACACCAAGAAACAAGCCTCTTAACTTGAACGGATTTCCTTTTGATTTAAGCAAAAATCTGATTGAATCAAGAGTATTTTTTCTTGTCAATGTTTTCAAGAGTCTGGACTCCAGATCCAAAGTGTTTGTTTTTCCAGTGTATGTATCTTATGTTACAGTTTGTACTTTTGCAGTGTCATATCGTTGTGATACCTTTCAAAAATGTTTTTCTTGAGCTGTTCTGTTGAATTTTACTCGAAGTTTTCAAACTGTTCTGCTAGTGATGCAAAGATTAATGCCTCTATTTAATCACAACGTATACCATACAGAGCCTTCCTAAAAAAAAGGCTGTTAAAAGAGTGACTATGGATACGGCTCTTAGTAATGTCTTCCTACAGGCAGAGGACAGAATTTAATTGAAAAAGGGAATTTTTTGATAAAAATTGAGTTTAAATTAGGTCATAATTTAAGTTACACATTCTTCATATCACCTCAAAGACGCTACGGGGAAACTTGGAAGAGGACAAAGGTATAGATTTCATTTTGCTGTAAGAAATCACTGTTTCTAGCTCATTCATGAAAGGGCCTATCTGCATAAGAAAACTTACAGCATATTCGTTGTTTCTAAAATGAACCAGAAATACTGATTTCTCATTGCATGTAAGTTCAGTTCATGTAAATCATGTGATTGTCCGTGGGCTAAGATCTCTTAACCCGTGGACAATAATTTTAGAGGAGCCATTTTCATTGGGAGTGGGTCGAAAAATCAGATTTTGGGATGTTGACGGATAAATCTCTCTAGTGTTCTGGAGAATAAGGTAGAGCGAATCACATTGTTGCCAAACGGTTTTGAAAAATAAACTCTTATTCGTGCTTACATAAATCCATGTAGAATATCCGCATTTAAGCGCACAACTTGGCAACCATTAGTACCAGATAATGCTAAAAATCGAACGTTCTCTCCATATAAACCTATGTAAAACTTCCACGTTGATCGGAGCAACCCGAAAACAGTAATGCTAACAGAAGACGTAAAGATGCATTATAATTGATGCCCTTAACACGGCAGATTTAAATGAAAAGCATAGGTACTTAATTGGCTGCGCAATACTGCACATAGACTCTTGTATGTATTAGATTCGTACATGATAATTTTTGAGGGGGCGAAGAAAACTAGGACGAGAGGTAGACTTACGTTGTTCTGAAAAAGTTTCCAAAGTTTTGTACTTAATTTGGTACAGTCCTTCTAAGTTAGCCACTGTTGAGAAGGCCCAACACGAACCACACGATCCCTACGGATGAAAGGAATAAGATTAATCAAATAGAAAAAAAAAATAAAAATAAATGATGAATAGATTCGTATGGTCTAGTGTAAGAACAATGCTGAAAAACCTGTTTTCTTCTTTCTCTTCTTCTTTTTTTAAACAGAAATATCTGTTTGAAATTGAGAAATGAAGCGCAGGCTTTTGATCTAAGCAAAAATTATACCGGTTTATTTTCTTGAAATGGTTTTAAACGGAAATTACACAAACCTGAGCTTTGATCGGGGTCACAGCTCCTTTCTCTCTCCAGTCGAAGTTTTTAGGAGCTCTCACATTTTCGAGTGATGGATCGTCGTATGTTTCACTCATACCTTCCTTCAGCGCTTTCACATTTAACCTCGCCATTTTTTGCTTGAATTCTTCATCTTTGCGTAAAACGGAAAAGAAAATAATTTAAAAGTTGTATACGATGATTTGTGTAAAAGCTACCATAATCCAAACATGTAACACTCGTTTAAAAAATAAATCGAGACCAAGATTTACCCGACTAGAAATCTTAATTTTATAACTTCACCCCTTTTGTGTCCTTTAATTCCGGGTTACTGAGATTAAATTGATCAAATGCGAAATAGATCAATTAAGATTTTAGGTTCAATTCACTATTTTTGTTAGAAAAAAATATGCGTTCAAGTAAACTTACTAATTTTTTGGTGTTAGGAAAGATTGAATAAATGAATACGTATCAATAAAATCGTTATCAATTTGAAGGAGCAGACTAGGTAATTATTTCCCATTAAAAGATTCCTTTTCAACAAACGATGCTAATTTAAATTACAACCTAGTTTAAGATACAAACTAGGTACGAGATTAAATCAAGAGTATATTTTACCACTTTGGTAAAGTTCCTCATGGGAGATGAGGCAGGGATGTTACTATATAGGTAGAAAGAAAAGTCTAGTACAGCGAGAGTGAGCTTTAGAAGTTTGAAGTTCTCGTAGATTAGAAAGAATGTTTTACCAGGGGTGTCAGATAACGGAGGATATATCGTGTTAGGTACAAGTTTTAATGGGAGATGCAGACCCTTTCGATCCCAGTCTTCTTAGTTACACTACTAGTTGGACAGACAATAATTATAATTTGGTTTTCGCTACAAACTCCAAATCGCATGAATCTATGATCCATTATGTCTTATAAACTGGTATACAGCTACTAGGTTCAAGTAAATAGAATATGGTGAACTGGGTACTTACAAGTCCAATCGGAGAACTTGTCGATGCCATAGACGGCCGATCCTTTGTCTGCAGCATTCTTCGCGTCATACTGCTTTAAATTTTCTCTAAAAATTTCGAATCTCTTCTCTTTATGTGCCCGACTGACATATGATTTGCCATACTGGTCAGCAAAACTTTCGAAGAGCGATCTGGTGGCTTCCAGGCTGAGAGACCCATAGTGAACTCTCTGCAATGAAGATTTGCTAGTAAGGCTAAATATCAATACGAATACATATCTCTAACCTAGAATTAGGAAGTACCTAATTTTATTTTGAGAAAAACCAAGAGAAAATGTGGTAGCCATTCTCACACATTCCAGTGTAAAGCGGAACTTCATTGTCATATCCGATAGGGGAGAGAGCGACGAAATTTCTTTCACATGGGGACCCTTTATCGAAAGGATCTCAAAATTCAGTAACTCGTCATTACTCTGAAAATGAGAGGTAAGTACCTTTTCACCTTGGGATATTGATTTTTAATCGTGCTTTTAAATGTTAATCCGCGTAGAATAAATTCATGAGTAATCACTCGCGGGATGAAAGAACGCAGTGAGTATGCCAAGCCAAATATTTCAGAGAGAAAATGATTGTAAAGTGATATTGAAATATCAGGATGAAGTTTTTTATGAAAAGCACTCTTTTGCGTGTTTCAAATAATGGCTTTCGAGCAATTTTGTTCATTTCTTTTTTTTTTTTTTTTTTTTTTTTTTTTTTTTTTTTTTTTTTTTTAAAAAAAGCTTTTTTGTTCTAAAGTTGAATTGTAATTCTGAGAATCGGTTAAAATTTTAAACGGCCATCTCTGAGTCATGCGTAGCTTGAACTTTATTTCCCAGGCTTCTTTTCCAGTCAAACGCTTAAGGGTGATTTCACGATAATAGGAATAGTCGTGTCGCCGTGGGTTATTAACGACATAGGGCAAAACGATTGAAAACCAAATTAATTAATCAATAGGAATGATGTCCCTGAACCTATCCATGCTAAAAAATATGATGAATTATTATTATATTTAATAATATGAGACTTTAAAGGCCGAAAATGTCCGGTCGGTTACGCGTCGCCAACCCCGATTTTGAAGCAAAAGAGCAATTTGCGGTAACATATCAGTACTGATCATGAACTCTTTGGCAATATTTGCTGAAAAGAGACTCTAGTGTTCAAGAAAATTGCCAGTTTGAACTGAAATGTTTATAATTGAGCGAGAAAAGTCATAAGAAAGAGGTGTCGCCACATTTGGCAACAAATTTTTGCAGTTGTATTAAGTGCAGTGTTTATCTCGCTAGATGGAGTCAGGAGTTTCAAAACTGCCATCAAATTGTTCGCTGAAGTCTTCTTGACAAAACCATTACTGATAAGTCAGTTTTTTTTACAATGAAAACTTAAATTATTATGAAAACCAGTGATTTTTACGTGTGTAGCACTAATTCCTCACTACGCAAAAACCTCAATTTAATAGTATTAAACTAAAACGAAGTCTCCAAAGTTTAGAAAACTTTTAAGGCAGCATTAATTCCACCTCATAAGTCAAGAATTGCCAAGTTTCATCTTTTGTATCATCTTTGATCTCACATTTTTGAGTGTCGGTTACGCTGTGTCTGTTACGTAACCGACACAATTTGGCAGGGCCGCCATGTTTGCGTGGACCTTCAGCAGTCCCGCGGGAAGCGCTGATACCTGATTCAATGGCTTGTTTATCAATCACTTTAACTTTGCACTGAATCAAAATAGAGCGTGCCAAAGCTGGAAAAAGGAAGTTTACTACCTTTAGAATGAGGTAATGAAATCCTGTTAAAATTGGTGCACTTTTATTTCTCAGGTATTTCACATTTTAACTATTCCTGTTATCGTGAAATCACCCTTAACATAATTTCCTCCAAGCAGCAGCACACATATTTCAATATGGCTCTTAGGTCAAAAAGTGCCTGGCTCTGAAAAAAAAATTCCTCAAAAATGGAAAAGAATTGAAAATCCTGAGAATTTGGATTTTATTCAGCTCCCAAACAGAGCTCCGTAGTCAAGAACATGAAACTTTCCGGTCTCTACACAACATAATTTGAACGTTTTTAAACCTTGGAGTTGGGCTCATTGCGGAACTAACAGACATGCGTGCCTATCTTTTCAATGAAAAAAAGAGGGAGAAAAAAAATAGTATAACCCTAAAAACAACTTTCCTGGAATAGACAAAATGACATGTCCAAGCATGTTGCCGAAAATACAGCATTTGGACGTATTTCTGCCAAACGCAACTATGTGCGTTAAGACAAGAGCCCTGAGAAGAATATATGTCATAATGCACATAGTTCCGTTAGGCAGAAATACGTCCAATTCTTTTCCACATCACCGTGATTTATGGAACTTCCCCCGTAGTTTGAGTTTTCCAAGTGAGGCAGTCAAAGCTGTCACACGGATCCTTAACTTTGAGCAATATTATACTGATATGGTTTTGAAAGTTTGCCAACCGTAAAAATTTACTTATCGCCGATAGCGAGCGATGATTGAGAGCTTTCAACAATTTTCTCGTAGTTTTAAACGCTATCAGCAACTTTGTCCTGCACACAGCGTGTTTTTATATTATTTTTAATGTGATATAATTTCTTCATATTCTTACATTATTCTTGCCGGGAAATAAAATTTCTGTTATATGGTCAAAGGGAGGAAACCATTGTTGGAAAGTAAACTAGACCTGTGTGAAATCAGCTCATTTTATAAAGGTAATCTCATTTTTATCTTGCTAATCTAAGAATAAGTGCTTGTATACAAAACACAAATGGAACCATGACGCAATTAACTTAGAAACTGTCATCAATATTTTGAGATTCACTCTCGGTGGTATGTAGTAGCGTGGCGTGCTTGGCGATATATCGATTGAACTGTCATTTGAGCCTATGAAAAGGATCGGTAAGTAGGGTGCTGTCAACGAATACTTTAATAATCGATTCCTTACCATAGCTTCAAATGGGGAAATATCGATATTCAATCATTCACGCCTCGCCGCAGTGGGTATTTTCAAAATCGATTAAAAACTGAGCGGATTTAAACTTCCTGTTTTTAAGCAACTTCGCAAATTTTGAGTCCTTGAAAGTTCAAGCTCTAACTTGTTTTGATTAACTTTGTTCGACATTAAGATGCAGGTATCTCACAATTGAAGGATTTGTGATATTTTAACAAATTCGTACGTTGAAACTCGACTAAAATACACTAAGATCAAAATTTTAGACACAAAATTTTTCTTCAAGCCGATTAATTTGAAACTCTACCTATGCCAACCGCTTGCAACGAGCAGACTCTTTCCGCACCAATTAAGTTGGCTCCCTTCTACTAAACGCTCCTCAGTTAACGATTGTTTTTGTCACTGTGACAAACGTTCGAGGTGTTGAATTATCACCGCCCGACAATTTTCTCACAACGAAGAGTGAGCGACAAATGTATCTTGAGATTCGAACCTCACGCATTGTTGCAAAACTCACCAAAGCTGGATCCACAATTTAGGCGCATTATAGGTGTGCGCCTAGTGGCTCGCACCAAATGGACCTGCGGGTTGATATCTGAAATTGATAGAGGAAACAATAGACAAAGAAGACAAAGAGAAAACGGAGCGATCCTATTTGTGGAAGCGGGTGGTTGCAACGGACAAGGGCGGTAAACAGCAACTCACGAGAGACCCTATAGTTAGTCCATCATTTCCCCATTGTCTGTGAAAACTACCCGTTTCAACCAATAGGATCGCTCCATTTTCCCTTTGCATTCTTCGTCTATTGATTTGCCTATCAATTTCAATAATCAGTCATCTGGACTACAAAGTTGTTCACCCCTTCCCTTCGTAGATACAAATTTTTATAGAGCAGCCCGAGACAATAAATTGGACGTATTTCTGTCAAACGGAACTATGTGCATTATGACGTGAGCCCTGCTATGCATATATTCTCATGGGTCTCAGGGCTCATGTCTCAATGCACATAGTTCCATTTGACAGAAATACGTCCGATTGGAACAGAAGGAAAACAAGAGGGGGACGGGAAACAAGGCTAAAACACACAATTAAAAAAAAAAAAAAAAAAAAAAAAAAAAAAAAACCCGAGACGTTTCGACTCAAAACTGAGTCATTTTCAGTGGGAAATGTTACGATGAAACTTTAAAAAAACTATTTAAAACCTGAGTCCTACATGGTGGTGGCCAGAATCTGAGAAAAATGACCCCCTCCCCTTTCCGGCATGAGCTATTAAATTTTTTTTAAGCCCAAATTATTACTTTTTTGTTTCTTATGGGCTTATAGTTTAGTCTGTAAGGAGCCCTCTCTCCTTCTTTGCCCTCATCATGAATGCCAAAAATGCCTCAAGTCACATCTGAAAGGGTTAACATTTTAAAGTTTTCTGGAAGAGGCTCTCCAGAACCCCTCTCTTGGGTAAGGTCACAACACGGCTCCCTCATTATCATTAGTGATTATTATGATTATCATTAGATATTATAATTAGTGATTTTATATGATCTCTCATTATCATTAATACTTATCATCAGTGATAAGTATTTCCCGTAGCTTGCACAGAAAACTGCGCGCAAGGGTAAAAAAAATCCTAAATTCGGCTCTGAGACTCACCTGGGGTTTCGAAATCGTGAACTCGGTCACCCTATCAGAATCCAAAATTCCACCGCTCCCGAAATTCACGAGACACACGAGGAATAAAATCCCCCATAACAAGGAACTCATGGGAGACATTATAATTAAGTGGGGCGTTCAAACTGTCTTCGAGAATTAGCCTTACGGCGTTTAAATACGAGGTCCATGTCCCTATCTTGGACTATCTTGAGTAGTACCCTGAATTTCTGCAGTAGGTACCGGCGCTTCGGAGAATGCAGCGGCAAAGAATTGTGAATTAATCACGTTTCTTTACAATTTGTCTGATGCAAACGTAGCTTCAATAACGTTTCAGAGAAGCTATTGAACGTAAACTACGTTTCATTAAATGTTTAATTGGATAGTAAACGGTAAGTGATGAACTCATCTTGAGTACTTCATTTCAGCGTTTTCAAAAGTGGGAGAGCGATTTTAATTCGCTGAAAAAACTCTCCGTATCTGAGAACCGTAGGGCAGAGTACATTGAACACACTAAACCACCAAAAATTCGCACTTGAGAGAGGAATAAGCGTTTATTGATCACGCCACAGTTCGAGGATTTTAACTTCCGCTTGCGGAAAAAACCAAAGTCTCCTTGTTAAATTTGTTAGTGAAAACAAACTTACCTTCCGGGGAATAATTTGATTTTGGTTTCTTAATAATATTTCTTCATTCTTTGAACATCAAGGAACTTGCGAAAAGGAGCCCGCACAAAGAGGACATTATTTATTTATACAAATTACTGAAATGAGTCGGTTTCCTTGGCAAGTGGAAGATTTCAATCGCGGGGGCGGGAAGTATTGGTTTCTCACTTAAATATTGATATTGGAGATTTCCAACGTATCCATCTGTGTTGCACATGTAATTTTGATGAAAAAATCTAACGCTTGATTTCTGACTTAGTCGAGCAATCCAGTATCGAGTGGTCCATTGTAGGTATACCACCCTTTTTCCTGGCTCAACGCCAGGACTTTAAGTTCTAACCTCCCGGCTCCAGAGTCCGAGGGAGCTAGTTTCGGACTCTATGTTTGTAGGTATACCACACGTAAATATGGCTTGTAGACCCGCATTTGGACCACAGTTCTAATTTTAGTGGGCGTCTTCAAAAATAAGGGATACTGGCGCAAATTGAGTAGCCTGGAAAGTTGGTAGTCTTCCACACCTTGTACAATTTACTGCGTGATTCATTACCACAGATTTTGACGGCTCCTAGAAAATTGGGAATAGCGTCTAGAAACTAGCACTGTCACCAGTTGGCCCTTATAGTTTTCAGATAATGTAAAAAACTTATGCACGATTAGCGTGAGATCAACTTGCGTGTTTTCTGTTCTTAAGAATTCCTATTCTAAATCTACTGTCACATCTCGGCGTAAATAACGTTGTTCATTTAACTTAAAAAGGAGGAAGAGGCTGTTCCTCGCTAAAAAGGGGTTCCGACAGCAATTTTTTTTCTAAATATAATGATTTTTTGTGACTAGAAATTTTAACTCGTTTCGTTTTCGCTTGATTTGAGAAAAATCATCTCAAGATTTTTTTTTCCAAATTGAGAGTGTGTCCAGTTCGAAACGGCAGCCTCATGTAAAGGGTGTTCCAACTTGAAATAAAGATTTTTTTGAGAATCCATCCTTATGGACAGCATAAAACTATTTTCCCGTATGTGATTTTTCCTTTCAGCCATTCCTGAAATTATAATTAAAAGAGATTAAACCTCCTTAATGTTTTTGCAATGATAGTAATGAGGGGAGTTTTGGTTCATGTAGGAGTATTTTCATTGTCGCTACAGTTGAGAGATTTCAATATCTTTCGACAAAAGTTTGAGGGACCTTGCCCTTCTTCAAATGGTTCAAAGCCAGAAAATTTAAGGAAAAAGATAATTTATTTTAGCCTAAAGAATGAGCCCCTAAATTATCTACATTCTGACTCAAGGTGCCCTTAATGTAGGTAGTTAGGAAAAGTCGGAAAATACGAAGGTAACTCCGATCGCACATTTACTCATTCAAGAAAGTTCAGTCAAGAAAATTAACCAACAGTTTTCCTAAAAATATTCTATAAAATTAACTCATTCAAGAAAAATATTCTCAAGAACATCCATTTATCGCCTTTTTCATAAAATGCATATGTATAGAAAATACAGTGATTGTTCATCCTTCTCCGTTTATCTCAAAATGAAAATGCTCATAATGTCTTACATCCAACCGCACAATGAATTGAAGGATTAGGCTGACAGTGGCGTGGCGTGAATGACCGAGTATCGATATATCTCCATTTGAAGCTGTGGTAAATAATCTATTATAAAGGTGTTCTCTGTGAACACCCTATATATCGATCCTGTCCCAAAGGATTAAATGGCAGATCAATCGAGATATCGTACAACACGCCACGCCACAGGCTGATATCTTTTAAACTGTGCTACTATCAGGCCATCTTATTCTGTATCAAACTTATACCTACTCCTCATTTTCATGAAAGAATAATTTCGGCTTGTCGAGGAATACTTTTACTTCATAGCCTGCCACCAGCAGCTAACAAAGTCTTGCCTTGTCTAAACAGTGCGCGAGGACAAAATCGAGGATATGCCGTACATATGGCAGCATTGCGTTTGACTGATGTCTAAAAACCATTAAAAGTGTACGTGTGAGTTGAGAACGACAGGAGCCACGGTGAACATTTTTAGCACGATAGAGAGAGTTTTTTCTTCAGAAAAGTCATCGGCACAAGCTTCCAGCGTGAGTGCAGAGTACGCGTCTACGGGTAAAAACTGTTGTACCGTTCGGCGACCGATTCTGTTATTTGCGTCAAATTTCAATTTACTGCAGTGCCGTGTTTCATTCCCCAGCAATGTGAACTTCTATCGATAAAGTGAACGATGGAGAGAGATGACGAGGATGAGAAACTCAGCTGGAGCTGCTGGTTCCGAACGGTATGTCACCAACCACGAACCGCGAAGAGGAGTAAATGGACTGCATTTTGCAATTTGGACCCATAAATTCCGGCCCGGCTTAAAAACAACGTATGTGCCATTAGTTTCCCTATGCACATAAGTTTTTTTTTTCAGATGAGCCAGAATTTATAGGTCCAAATTGCAAAATGCAGTCAAATTATTAGTAATTAGGAGTAATTGGGGCAGGGAGCAGACGATCAGGGACGATTTAGTTTAGACATCCCAAACTCTTATCATCCCAATCATGTAATAGTTATTTTTGAAGGTCAATTTTCAGATCCGCTTAACCTGAGATGCCCAAGTCGGGTCAAATGGACCACTAGATAAGGTATACGAATTTCAGCATTCTGATTCATGTTTCTTACCCAAAATTTCACGTAAAATACGACGCGGACAACAAAAATTACCGAAATCAACTCCTCACAAAGATATTCAGTGATTCCTGATGCGTGAATTCAAACCACCCGCTCATTAAAACTCAATGCTCTACGTGATTCACATCGCGCGCTAAACGTTATATCATGACAGTCTCAGCGATATAAAAATCTGGCAACCTCAGTCTTGACGCTTGGGCTCAGCTATAGCAAATTGCTTATAGTTTGAACATCACATGGTGGGAAATGAACATTACTCGATTCAGAAGCTTGTTGAAACCGTTAAAGTGCGCGATTTGACTCACGTAAAGCTTTGAGTTTCTTGTCAGCGGGCAGTTCAAATTCCTCGTAACCACTGTGAAATAAAAACGTTAATACCTTCGTTTGGAGTTTGTTTCATTAGTTTTCGTTGCGCAAATCATGTTCTACGTGCAATTCTGGTTAAGAAACATGTATCAGAATGCTTAAACTCGTACCTTGTCTAGTGGTCCATTAGGAGTAATTAGGGCAGGGAGACGATCAGGGACAATATATTTTAGACGTCCCATAATGTTATCATCCCTATCATGTAAAAATTACTTTTGAAGGTCAATTTCCTCGATCAATTTACTTTTGAAGTCGGCCTCCTGTGGTGTAGTGGTTATAGCGCTAGCTCTATGATCGGGAGGTCCCGGGTTCGATTCCCGGCCAGGCGACCCGAGTTTGATGGTCTCAAACCATGGTTGTAGGGACGGAGGGGGGCCGGGACTAAAAAGCGCGGGATTAGCCCTTGTGGGCTACTTAAAGTGGTAAAAAAAAAAAAAAAAAAAAAAATTCAGGTCCGCTTTACCTGAGATGCCCAAGTCGGGTCAAATTGACCCGCGGCTTCCTATAAACACGTGATCCGCGGGTTATGTGGGGCCGGCGCATACTAGTTTAAGATAAAGGTCTACAAATACATCCTAAGAAAGGAATCCAACATCTAATTTTAAAAAAAAGGAAATAATTCGAGTGTCAATAACAGCCGAAGATAGGAGACGTATTCCAGCCTCGTTCTTTAACTTTTCTTTCGAATCTGAGCGAAACCTTATCGGCAGCATAGAGCGGAGCATTGCAAGTTCACGCCTCGCGTCACAGCGCCTTCAATTTTGTAAATATAACACGGACATCCATCCAGCACGTATAGTTGTATCTCTGCGCCGTCATCAACGCACGTCCTTTCCCTTTCTCTATTTCCATTTTGTGTTCGCTGCGTCTGTCCGATTTGCCGTGGCGATCATTAGACAAACAGCAGCTTTGAAGCCCGGACTGAACTTTTGCTTCGCTCGATCGGGTTGCTCACGAGTTTTACATGAGTTCAAAGTGAAGCTCAGAGTGTTGGATGTTTAGCCAAAAGTGGACATCGATCCAATCGATACCAAAATAGATCGGGCCGCTTGCTTTCCATTTTATTTTTCCTGCGCACATTACCGCGCATGTCTTAACGATAGCATTACGAATGGAGATAGCTATAACGTTAATCGTTCGTCCATTCCGATTTTAGTCGATGAAAGTAAGTCTTTGATTGGGCATTAAAAATCCCAATTTCTACACCTGGATTACGACTGGATTTGCAAGAAAAGCTTAGGATACTGGGAAACCATTTTTCCTCATAGGCTTGGGGCTGTGATTTGGCACCAGTGACAAAATTCAATATAGATCGGTGAACAAAACATAAGGGGACCAAATTCATTGAATAGGAATTCCTTAGTTCTTACTCTCACTTCTTACTTCAGTCTTTTCCAATTTATTAAAAATCCTCCAGTATTTAGTGTAATTGTCTTTACATATATTGAGAGGTTGGAAGAAGAAGTGTTTTTTCCCAAGCTTTCAACTTGACTTCTGAGACCTTCTCGACCTTTATCCGTAGTTACATATACCAATGAACTCGTTCATGTTTCAAGTTTTTAATTGAAGTATAACATTTTGAATTTTCTTTTGCCTTTTTAGATGTTTGCCTGCAGTGGGGCGATGATGCTATTCGTTTTCACGGGTGTGACGGAGGCCCAATCGGCTGTGCTGCTGCCCCAACTTAAAGAGAGGGACAGCACAATTCACACCACACTGGAGGAAGAAACGTGGATAGGTGAGAACTAAGAATTTTAATGGAGTGCGTGACTTTATTGTGGTGGAACATGACTTATTCATGACCACGATCAAACGTTTAGCTCAGATTATATCGATAAAATAGTGGAGGAAAGGCTGTCAAAGAATATATTTGATTGGTTTCTTCCTGATGGGAGATGAAGAAGACGCCCAGTGAGAGGGTCGTAACAGGAGGTTGAAGAAGAAATGAAATAGTGCAAATTCACCGAAAGAACTTTAAGAAAGATAGGGAACTGTGCTACCGTGCTGAGGAAAAACACCGTATGAACATTCGCATGTTGCCGAATTTCCTCTCAGCCAATATTTGTCTTTGAAGAAAGTTATGAATATTTACCATTGAAATTTTCCGACTATTTATATCAAATTACGAACGAAATTGAATATCGGAGGAAAGATGTTTATAAATATCCCCGAAAATTCGTGATTTATCAAAGGAAAATGGCGATTGGGCGTCGCAGAGCGCGAGGCTGCGCGGCTTAATGCATGTATCAAAGGAAATTTGGCAACGCCTAAAGGCTTATACGTCGTTTTTTCCATAGCACGGCAGTATGGGTGTAGGACGTCACAAGGCACTAGGGATCGATTTAAGAGCATCTCTAATGTGCGTATGTTGAGTCATGATTTTGCGTGATATATGTTAATTCTTCTCTCAAAAGGTTTTCAACATACGTCATACAATACCAAGTTCGGAAAAATTATCTTTCCTTAATTATAATTTCATTTTACTACATCATTTGCAAATTCTCTCCTTACAGGCTCAATATACTGACCATGGGCAAGCTGTTGAGTACCGATGTAGCGTATGTTATCGCCCCTTGGGGATATGCAACTTCCGTGAAGGGCAAAAACGGTTGTTTATCTGTACGCAAATCGTTTTCGTTTCAGCTAGTCTTGGTATTTTGCTGTCGCCTGTCTCAGGAGTAATCGTCGGGCCGACTATAGATGCAATCGGACGAAAAAAAGGACTTCTTTTCTTTTTTATCAATATGGGCCTTGGTTTTGGTATAATAGCTTGTGCAACGAAAATATGGCATCTGTACGTGGGCCGTTGTATCTGTTCATTTGCTGTCGGTAAGTACTTGTTCGTAAAAAAAAGTGTGTTTTTTTTAGTGGAAAACAAAATGTTAGGAGCAAACGTGCATTCAGAGCCTGGCTGCGAGTACAGCATCGTCCAATGATAAAACACGTAGAGATCCGCAAAAAGAGAGAGAGAGCAATAAAATGAGGCCTGAGACAAAAAATAAAAAATATCATTCATTGTTGTTGTTAACATGGCTGGAACGCACTAACCGGAAAAAACCTCAAACATTTTGGTTTTTCAAAGTTCCCAGTTTTTCCCTTTACGTATTCTATTAAAGGAATATTGGTAATTGTTGTGCAAAATATTGTGTAATTTTTCTTCCCTCCAAACAAAAAAGACGAGAAAAAGAAAAAAAATCTAAAATTTATAGTAGATTGGTCAGTTATTCTTTATAAATAATGAACGTAAATGCAGCTCAAGTCATTCTATATTAGTGCAAAAATAAACTAGACCAACCGCAACATGTTCCTTGGGATATTAGAGGGTTCGCTCCCCAACGAAAATTCAATCAGTAGACAATTTCAAACCTAACGTGATGTAATGACTGTCCTGAAAAATTGGCATCCAATCATCGCATCGAGGTTTCTCCTGTCAAGGACCATCAAAAAAGTACGAAACAAGCAACCTACTGTCAACACACTCGCGAATGTAATGAGGAAAATATGACAAATTGAAGCAGTGCTTAAAAACTAGAAATCAGAGGTTCGTTTGCCTACATTTTCGGCAAGAAGGCAAAGTGCTTCCAAATTTAGAACTAAAGGTCGAAGGTTTTGAATTTAATTGCAAGTACTGAACATATGCGAGTATGGTTCATCAATTAAAGAATGAACATCACATAGGTAGCACTTCTGAGAGTGATGAAGCTCAGTGATCATTTAATGTTTGACGAATTGGACTGCATTTTGCAATTTGGAACTATAAATTCTGGCTCATCTGAAAAAACACTTATGTTCATAGGGAAACTAATGACGCATACGTTGTTTGTAAACCGGGACAGAGTTTATAGTTCCAAATTGCAAAATGTAGTCAATGCAAATGTGTGATGGAAAGCCATCGGTGGATAATTATTATCCACCGTGAATTGAGTGCCGAGGTGGATTGATTTTGAACCGAAAGGTGTTATTCCATACATCGCATTTGGCTGTGGGTGGATTTAACCAGGATCAACTTACAGCATTTCAAGTTGCCTAGTTTCTTTCGTGTGTTTTATGTATTTACCAAACAACTAAACTATACAACGCCTTGAATCTTTCTGTGGATTTTAATCATAATTATGAAGAATATTTCAAATGAAAATTTTGCTTAGTTTTCTGTTGAAAAAATTTTACACGAGAGGAAATAAGGCACCGCCTCATGTAGTTAAGCTGGTTCTGCGGCTCCGTCGATGTTCTAATTGCTAATTGCGCTTTGCACTTAAGTGTCAAACACAAATGGACGCATTTCTATCAAACGGAACTAAGCGCCAATTTGAGTTCCATTTGAGGAATTTAGAATCCCGGATAGCGCGTTCTGTCAAACGGACCTAAGCGTCATGGAAAAGCATTGCGAGTATAGGACGGAATAAGCCGGACGCCCGATTCCGCCGCCAATCCAAGCCCCCCTCTACCTTCCTCACCCTATGGCGCTTAGGTCCATTTGATAGAAATACGTCCAAATGGGGTGAGCTTGTGAGCCGCCACGAAATAGTTATAACTAAACCTCAAATACGATCAGTTAATCCGAGTGCGATTGATCTGTCCACGATTTGGACTATCTGCAGATGATTCAGAGGGAATTTTTCACTTTAAAATAGGTCTAAATCAGATTAATTAGTTGTAATCTCAAGGGCCGGATTTATCTACTTGCCGCCCATGGGCCGCCTGTATTTTGCCACCCCCTTCTCACTCGTTTTGAAACATCAATAAAAACCATCAAATGAACGTGCCAGCGGGGGAGGGGTGCGTTTACTCGTATTGAACACATTTTTTGGGAAAGCCCAGTCGACACTACTATCAAAAGTTCACAAAACTTTGCGCGAAAGTTAAGTTTTGTGAACCTATCTCTGTGTGGACAAGGCCTTCCATTCCTGAGAAATGAACGAAAAAATTATGAAAGAACAAACATAAAATGTGGATTAATGATTTTAACTTCCGCCGCCGCGCCGCGCAGACAGCATTGTGTTTTACGCAATGCGTGAAGTATTCTCGCAGTCTTGAAGGCGCTTTGCGTTTCACGCTGACCGCACTGTGTTTAGCGCAATGCGTGAGGTATTCATGCATGCTTGCAGGCGCTATCCGTTTCACGCTGACCGCAATGACCGCACTGTGTTTGATGCAGTGCGTGAAGTATTCGTGTAGTCTTGTAGGCGCTAATATGTGTCATATGCCGATCGCCGCATCGAGGACCTCTCCTTTTCATCTCAAGTCCTCGTCATCATTTTTCTCTAAGTCGCGCCGTTCCAGGCCAAATTGCGTGTTCGGTTTCTCCCTTAACTCGACTAATTATAGGTGCTGTCTCTTGTATCACTGAAAGACGACAAAATTAGAAATTACTATATTCTCAGGAAATAAGAGATTTGGTCGCCTTTTCTCGTTTGTATTTTTTTTTTTCTAAATCTGATTTTTTTTTATATCTACATGTAAAAAAATTGCAAAATTTGCCGCCCCCTACTTTTGGCGCCATGGGCCGCGGCCCATGAGGCCACCCCCTTAATCCGGCCCTGGTAATCTTCAGATTCTGATATCACTCCGTCTGTATCAGAAAAATGTTACAGACCCCGCACCAATGTTCTCATGGTGCATACTGGTTTATTTCGGATAATTATGAAGGAGCAATATTTTTACAACACTGTAACTGCGCTGGTTCCTTTTTGCTAAATTCGATCCATTTTCTGAGATCTCATCTATAAAATTACCCACCTGTAAAAGAAAACTAATGATTTATATGTTGTTTTTAAAATGAAAATAGTAGAGGAAAAAGAAGAAACTGTAGCTCCACATTTCGGAATGAAGACCATTCAGAGTTTTTTTAAACAAATCACACAGGTCGCACAGAGACTTTTTAAATATCCCTAATGTAGATAATACTGGAATACTTAACGCTTAACGCTATCAATTCGAAACCTGGTGGCTGGAGCTTGATGTCTTAAGCAGTCTGTAGGTATAGCGAATGGGATCTAAGTAGTCAAACTCTAGGCAAACCGCTCGACTCCTTAGTTTCAACTAAGCCGAGATGACTAAAGCTGCTCGTAAAAAAAACTGTTAATCTCCGCTTAACACTGTCACTTCATCCACCTACATTGCTTTGTTTGCTGGTGTGGAGTTTGTAAAACACTGTGTGCCGAGTGTGACTGATAACGATCACTTGAAATGTAATACTCTCAATTGAGTATGACATAAAGTTTATTTTAAACACAGAGGACAAACGGAATGAGACTTTTCATGTTTTATTCTGATTATGAGTGTTAACATGCTCTATATCCTTGAATAAATTAAGAAAACACCTACTCCAATCGCGGTACCCATTACACTGAGACCCATGAAATCCAATCCTTGCATTACAATGCTTTAATAATTCCTTTTTTTCATAATCTTTGCAAATGTAGTAGCCATGCTTACATATTTTCTCATGTAATTTTAAAAAAATATTATTAGACAGATAAGGGTAAATTATACAAAGGCACCTATATAAAAGTTGGAAAGTTTGGATTTTTAATGTTATAAGAGGGTGGAGGACTTGTTTGTCAAGAATCAGGCAAAGGCACGCATGGAGATACGGGTATAGGTGTTCCTAGTTTCCCATACGTAGGACCCCATCTTATCTGTCACAGCTGAAAATACATACTTCAATTTTGTATAAGCAAAATAGAGGTACAAAATCAAATATATATGCTTTGTAATTTTTTACATTTCCATATCTTGTCCACATAATTTCTCGAAGTCGTGGGCCTGAGTTTCATCATTATTGAGGTGTCTACAGGTGTTGTATGTAAGTGCATATACGCCATTTTTTTATCAAAAATTTTTTGGGCTCAAAATTCAATAGAATCATCTCTCCTCTAAAGACTTACAGAATACACTTACTTTCTATCTCGCAAATCGGCAAAAATGGTTCATCGGGCAAGGTGCAAGCGAGCTTGAGCAATTAAGCATTATGCTGTGTATCTAGAATTCATAAATTTTATCTAAGACTTATTTGAACCCTAAGTTTGGTTATTTTATTTGTTCAAATTATTAAATCTAATTTTATCAAAACATGTGAAACAGCACAGAGTGTATCGAGTCAACGGGAAAGAATGGATATTAAATTTCAGACTTAAAACCGCTAATTTTGACGTTTATTACGTCATATTTTAAATTGTAAGAGATGCCTCGTGAAGAAAATTTCACGAGGAAACCGATGGAACCACTTTTAGAGCCTCAAATTTTCATCAAAATGGAGTTACAGGGTTTTTAAGTTTCCACATTTTCCGAACGACTCGATCCACATGTACGGCGGAAGTAAACGTAATGCAGCTGAAATTATTCAAGGTACCTCCTAACTAGGAGGATAACGTTGTAAAATGCCCGGATTCAAACTTCGGTAAAACCATAACTTGTGTTAAATCGCACACCAGAGAGTAAACGTTACCGTACCGTAATCGTGTATTGTCTATTCCTTTGCCTTCCTGTTTCTGTCCTCCGTTGAATCCTACTTTGGCACTGATCTAGCTCACATTTGAATCAGTGAGATCGAAAACACACCAACTCGGTAACACGAAAATGCTCAATTTCCATCAAAGACAGTTAATTTACATTAAGGTCATTGAAGTTATCTCATCTGTTCCATCTTTAACCTTTAAAGAGTCCATGAGTACATGTCTTTTAGCAGCAAAAATCTTTGTCTTAAACTATCTTCTTCACCTACGGTGCAGTTTTGTGTCTTGATTATTTTCATTTTTCCGAGTTGGTGTGTTTTCGTTCTTACTAATTCATTTTCTTTACAGGTATGGAGGTAGCAGCTATAGTCTACCTGGCAGAGACCTGCACGAAGAAGCAGCGCAGTATGCTGCTGTCCATGGTAGCGGCCTCCTTCACGACTGGCTGCTCCATCACCTACGTCGTCGGCGGCTACCTCCCTTGGAACATCGCTTCGGCCATATTCGCGCTGTGCTGTTTCCTTTACTTCCTCGTCCAACTCCTGGCCCCCGAGTCCCCTGCCTGGCTCTACAAACAGGGTCGAATCGATGCCTCCACCCGGAGCCTCCAGAAACTCGGCCGGAGTCCCGAAGGAATCGCCCGCGAGCTGGAAATGCTCCGTCTCTCCTCCAAAGAACAGTCCGAGAAGTTCCAGCTCAAGGTTAGTCCGATTTTAAGATCTATGAATGTAGTCAGGTGCTGTGCGAGAATAGGTTATACATGCAAAAGTTAAAAATGAAAATTAAAAATAGTTAATTTGGTTGTCATTATATTTGTAAAACAAAGTTAATTTACACTTGTAAACAGGAGGTTGTAACATAATTTGACGAATAAAAAAAAAAAAAAAAAAGGTTAGTCCGGAGGTTTGTTAAGTATCATGAGCATGGAAGATCGAATAATTGGACTGCATTTTGCAACGCGCATCTACTATTTCTGGCTCATTCACAGGAGCTCTTATTTGCATCAGTGGCATGGCGTCCTTTGCGATATATGCATTGATTTACAATTTAAACCTATGGGAACGTATCGAAGAATAGGGTGTTCGTAAGGATCACCATAATAATAGATTCTTTACCGTAGCTTCAAATGGGGAAATATCGATGTAATCGATCATTCACACCTCGCCACTGGTCAGCATAGGGGAAATAAGGGAAGACGCGTTGTTTCTGAAATAAGCTAAAATCAGTAGTTCTCGTTGCAAATTGGACGGGTTTCACTGGAATCAGCTTATTTACATTGCGTATTTTCAGGACAGACGTTGCTTAATTTTCAGGACAGACGTTGCTTAATTTTCAGGACAGACGTTGCTTAATTTTTTCGGATGTCTTCTTCCTAAGACAGGAAAGCGAGCAACTGCAAAACTTGAAATTTTATGTGTGTATTCTTTATAATATAGGATGAATTCACAAAAAATTTAAAGGCATTTAGGGGCCGTCCATAAAATACATGATGCTGAATGAGGGAGGGCGGATTGAGGAAAGCGTTACGTCATTTTTCTCCGTGCCAAAAGGATAGGATTTACGTAACAAAAGCATTACGAGAGGGAGGTGGGTCGAAAAATCCAAAAAGCTTTACGTGTTTTATCAACGGCGCCTAAAAAGTTTTGTTTGCTGATAGAAAAATGCAACTTGAGAGAAAATTAGGCAATGCAATTAAGCGAGATGCTAAATCACCATGCTATACGTTTCCTTTTCAAAATTTTACCGAGAGAACTATTTCTGCGACGGGCAGGAGCGTTTTCTGCCTAAAAATTCAAACGAAGTAAAATGGGTACCGACAGGCTGTTGAAGTTACACACATTGCTGTTACGCCTTCAATTTTTAAGGTAGGTGAGAACTCATTCTCCGAGAGGCAATTACTCGAGGATTTGCGTTTGGTGTGGTATACAAACCTTTTCTTACTGCAGCTAATTATATCAAACACCACCTGCGGGCCGATTATTGAAATTGATAGACAAAGCTATAGACAAAGATGACAAAAGGGATATGGAGGGAACCTGTTGGCGGAAGCGGGTGGTTGCAATGAACAAAGGCTTGTTATAGACTAACTAACGACAACTCACGAGAAACCTGACAGCTAGTCCTACATTTTCTCCTTTAGTCTATAAGAGCCACACGTTTTAACCAATAGGATCGCTCCATACCCCCTATGTCTTCTTTGTCTATAGTTTTGTCCATCAATTTCAATAATCAGTCTGCTGACGACTTAGCTGTTGGCTCTGTTATTCTATACAAGTCTCTAATTGAATACTGATAGAACAAATCCCTCACTTTGTTTAAGGTCCTTCTTGAACCGACCGTCTGGAAACCGTTCATCATACTGTGCATCTACCATTTCCTCCAGTGCGCGACGGGGGTTTTCCAAATCCTCTACTACACCCTGGACTTCATCGACCGGCTGGGCACATCTTACAACCCCCTGCGCGTCTCGATCATCATCTCCATCGTCCGGGTGATCGCCAACAGCACCATCGGCATGTACGCCACCGCCTACGTCGGCCGGAAACCAGCGACGGTCACTTCAGGGATCCTGATGACGATCTCCTTCCTGGGCGCGGGCGCCTACGAGTACATCTACCGGACCACGCCCGTCGGACATCGACCCTGCGAGTGGGTACCGATCGTCCTGCTCATCGTCAACATCGTCGGCGGGATCCTGGGCGTGTGCATCCTCCCGTGGTTAATGTCCGGCGAGGTGTTCCCGCTTCGGGTCCGCGGGTCTATGTCAGGCGCCGTCTTCGTCGTCGGGTCTGCTATCATGTTCGTGTCTGTTAAGATCTATGCCGCGGCGATGGAGGTGCTTGCCATGTGGGGCATGCTCTTCGTTTATGCTGCTGCGTCGTTTCTGGCCGTGCTCTTGGGGGCTTTTTTCCTGCCCGAGACGCAGAATAAGACTTTGTATGAGATCGAGCGGGGGTTCCTGCCGAGGGATCGTGGGGACTCAAGGGTCCAGGCGACTGAGAAATCCGAGATCGAGAATGAAACAACAGTGAGCTGAAAGCACAGTGTGAAGGGAAGGTTCATGATCGACAGAATCCTGGTTCTCAGAGATAGGAAAGTACACGTTATGCTTGGTGAGCAATGAGTTTTTTCCTTCAATTGGACGTATTTCTGCCAAACGGAACCAGGTGCATTGAGACATGAGCCCTAAGATCCATAAGAATATATGCATAACAGGGCTCACGTCATAATGCACATAGTTCCGTTTGACAGAAGTACATCCAATTAGAAGTCACCAATTCTTTTGACCTTTCAATCCAACTCCGAAAAAGCTTTTCAGCTCAGTTAACCGATATGTTTGGTTTTCGATGTCGGACTTTGAAGTCCAAGTTCATCAGTCTAAGTTTTAGATCGACGGTCATACTAAGACTTGAATTTTTATTCGAGACTGTAGTTATTTGAACCGGAGCATATAATCCGGCCGCTTGAACCATGGAATCGAAGTATGCCTATAGTAATCGCCGATTTTTCTTTAAGTATGACTTTAAAAATTGATGTCTGCTGTCCGTAGAGGGTACCGAGAGAGAATATCCTGCAGATTTTTGTCTCTCGGAGAGACAACTGAAGAACATTTGTCACATTCTAATCGATGTCAAGCTGTTTTGTGATATACCTCATTGTAAGCTCAATTTTGATACTATATAATTTGTACGTATCATGTACGTATTCTAGAGGGCGTAGCTAGCCCCCTGACCGCTTCGCGGTACAACCACCCGATGTTCGAAGCGCTTCGCAACTCAGGCGTTATGCGTCACGCGTTTCTCTCATGATTTTATAATATCGAGTAAGATTAGTACGTGTAAGTAATTAGTGCGTATGTGTGATTAGTAGTGTGTGTGTAAGATTAGTAAGATTAGTTCGTGAAAACTTGTTTTTTGTGCCATTCTAATTCCTTTTGTAACTTTAACTCTATATAGACGGTAAACTCAACAGCCATGTAGGTACCCCAGTTTGCAACGTTGCAGACTTACTGTTAAACTTTATTTTTAAATGATAATGTACTCAAATTCTTAAAAACTTCCGCGATTTTTATTTTCTGAGAAAAATTCCTTGAAAATTTTAAAGAATGATGTTGATTTATTTGCTTACAAAAAATTAACATAAAAGCGGAGATCTGTAAATACCCTAACAGGCTGCGCGGTTTGGAAGTTTCATTGTCAACAAACTGTTTGGGCTATCATTTTAATATTACTCTATATTGAAAAAACAATTTTTTCTCCCACAACAAATATTAGCCAATAAAAAATCACGAAAAATTGAAAACTGAGCCCTTTTTTTAAAATTTTAAAATGAGTCTTGTAGAACCTCCCTCAGTTTCCAACGTTCTATTCGAGAGGATTTTGAATCGGCTGTGGGGTGAGAGACACTTTTTTATGGGATGAGTAAGAAAAGGGAGAAAAGCCTCGGTAAAAATTGGCCATAGGATCTGGGGTCCAAAATACCATAGACCTATAGCCGACCATACAATTTCTTATAGCTTCTACATATAGCCGGCTAAAGAATTTCTTAAAGCCTTCTGTAGCCGGTGGCGATAAAGGTATTGCCCAGCAATAAACTGTATAGCTCGGCTATATAATTTTTTATCGCTTCGCATAGCTTGGCTGCATGATTTTCTTCGCTTTCTATAGCCAGTCATATGATTTTCTATAGCTTTCTATAGCCGGTTATAAGAATTCATATAGTATTTTGAAACACATCTCCGGCAGCCAATTTTTACCAGGGGGACGATAAAAAGTCCATTTCATTTCAATATCATGTTGCATTTGAGTTAAGAGAATAAAATACCTACCTGAGGAGTCTCTCGGATAGAGAGTTCGCCTTCTACTCTGGAGATATGCAATTCTACATTCCTGCATTCAATTGTTGTTCCGCACAAATCCAATACGATGGCGGGACAGAAAATAATAATTACATCGATGGCTAAAACTTTAAAACGATATGTTTTAACTGCAAAAACTTGCATGTAGTTCATGGATCCCCCGGTTGTTTTGTCGTTTTATTTCTGGGCATGCTATTTCGAGATGAAAGCTTGCGAAATACAGAGTGTATACATCCGATATGGGACAGACAATTTTCAGATAAGAGTTCAGTAGCGATCGGTGTCTAAGTGCCATGACGCAGTGCATGTGGTATTCACTATAGTTAAGTTTTGGACGCCCATTTGAGCATTTGACTGTAATACATGTGACAGCTTCCGGATTTAGGGGATCCTATTTTGAGGTTCTCAGTCTATTTTTCCTCATAATTTTTTTTACGTCAACACCGAATAAAATGGAGCAAGAGGATGATGACAAACTTGGCTGTCGCTGCTGGTTACGCACGGTAAGATTCTGATTCATACTATCCGCCATTCCGTTTTCACTGAATCTGACGCAGTCGAAAGAAAAAAAAATTATTTTTTGCTCCTCAAAAGTCAGAACATAGGTGCGTGTCGGATTCTAAACCCGCGAAATGGCCTCAACAGCAGAAACAAGATTTGACGTTCGTTTGCAACGTGGTTGTCTCTCAGCGCCCCTAAAATAGGCCCAGACGTAAAAATAGGAAAAAAAGAAGAGAAAATTAAGCAAAAAAGTAGGAAAAAGTAAAGTGAAAAAAGGCTAAATTTAATAATAACAATTAAAATACGCAAAAAAATCCGGTTCTCCGTCGCTTCCCTTTTTTTCCCCTTTTTTTTTAACTTTCCCTCATTAAAACACCAATTTTTTGTCTAAAATTCTTGAAAACTGATTGTGTACAAGTTTCCTCTTCTTATTTTCCATTTCTATAGAACTTTTGAACCTCAAAAATACCAATTTTACATAAGTTTCACGAGTTATTTACAAGCTGCGCTATATTCAGTGATCTTGATTTTTTACGTCATTGAATAATGAAATTTGAAATTGACGTTTACCCTAACACGTCTCATCTAGATTGAAAATATTGCGATTCAGAAGAGGACACATCGACGGAGAACTACAAAAATACGCATCTCAATTGAAGTGTTTCAAAATTTCCGCTTCGTTCCTATTATCCCACCTTACCCTTCGGCACTCTCAGGTCTTTCAGCACTATCGATGGGTATGATTGGATGAAATTAAGTAACTATTAGAAACGTGCCTACGAGGGGGATACTTTTTTTGAGGGAGAGGGGGAAGGAGATGTGTAACATTGTGTTAGATGGGGACGTATTGGAGATTGCAAGGAATATAAGAATAAGAAGAAAAATAATAAAAATTAGAGGTAGAGATAGAGGAACAAGAAGAAGAAAATAAAGAAAGGAAAAGAGGGAAGGGTAGAAAAATATAACTTTTTCGTCGTCTTTCCTTCCTTATTTCCTCAGTCTCTTATTTTACTATCTTACTCTTCATTTTCCTCTTTCTGTTCCTCTTGTTTGCAATTCCTTTCCTTGTTTTTATCATTCCTCTGATTTCCATAATGCTTTCCATCCTGACATACGGGAGGAATCCAAAGCTATGCCGCGGGTGTATTTTTTCAAAACACTCCGTTTAAGGTCTGAATGATCCGAGTAACTTAACTTATCATGTAGCATTGATATCTATACTATATACCTTTGTTTTGTTTGTGTAGGTGTTTGCTTGCAGCGGGGCTATGATGGTGTATTTTTTCATCGGTGTGACAGAGTCACAATCAGCTGTGCTTTTACCACAATTGAAAGAAAAAGGCAGCACTATTCATGTCACTCCCGACGAAGAAACATGGATAGGTAGTTTTGTCTTAAATGTAATTACATTGGGTGGTAATGGGTCACGATACCTTGTGTTTTTTTATTTGATATTCTAAAAGGACCATGTGAGAAGATTGGGTGATGATTTATTGCGTATTTTTGGTGCCAAAATGCTGGACAAGCGCGCTTTTAAAAAGTCCAAAGACATACGAATGAATATTAACCTCCCCGGAATGGCGAGAAAATGATGGAAGTGATGTACTACTACATAATAGTAGCTATCTCCTTATTTTCCACTGATGTTCGTTATAAAATAAACCGTATTTCAATGTGGCGTTGTTTTTTTTTTTTTTTTTTTTTTTTTTTAACTGCAGATAACATAAATAAGATTCGATTATTTGTTTCTGAAGATATAGTTTCAACTTTAAATAGTGTCATATACCTACAAGGAGTAGAAAAACATTTGACGGAAGTCGTAGAAGCCCGTGCTCACCTTTGATTGGTGCCGGATGACATCATTCGGTTTGGCGAGAAACCGGGCCGTTTTAATTTGCGGAAAAGTTGCGCTTTTTAAACTGCGTATTTCTCGGTTCCTGAGACACTTCCTTGCACTTTTAATGTGCACATCCTGTTCTATGCGTCATTAATCGTTGAAAAAGTGTATGCGCAAGTAAAATTCTATCATGGGTTAGTGACCCATTGGCTGGATGGATGCAGGTAGCCGGAGTAAAGTTTTTATCTCGCATTGCGTGATCAGTTAATTTGCAATATTGGTATTTTAAATATTCCTATTTTGTATTTTAAATATTCTTATTTGGTCTTATGGCCAATTACTCACAAATTTGGCAAAAAATATATGTTGAATTGTATCTTTTCAAGGATGCAAGACAATCAACGCCGAAACTCCTAAATCACGTATGCATCCTAATCACGTACTTGGTTGTTGCAGACTTCCTGTCCTAATTCATGCAAACATGCATTATTCAACTTATTATCAGTGAAGTTCGCTATTGCAAACTTAAGAATCATATCTTTTCTCTACTAAGTGCACTTTGCGATTAAATTTGAAAGAGTAATAATAACGCTCTCATTGTCATTGCTTGCTGTGCAAATGTTTCGTCTCAAAAACTGTGACGTATACCAGGATTCATTCGTTCTCTGCAATATTCAAATAATGACTTTTTTTATGCATGGCTTTGACTGAGCTTTGTTTGAAGTAGAGGCTGTATATCACGATTAATAAACACTAAAAGCTTAAAGCAGAAATTTTCCCAAGCAACACTTGTACCCATCTGAGTATTAATCTCATGTGAATATAGGCAAAAATACCCCACTCATTAATTAGATTGGCAATGAACCAATCTATCACTACGAACACGACGACGATAATGATGTATACATGCATCAAGAGGTGACGATGTAGCGCAATATTCCGTCTGAGTCGATGGTACTTTTTTCTGAAATGGAATGATATTCACAGCAAATCGACATGCGTACTCTTGGACTTTAGTATTTAACTACTCAGCTCAGCATAATGTGTGGCTGAAAATTTTGATTTCATAAAGGATCTTTATCAAAAAATTAATCCTAATTATTCGCATGAAAGTGCAATATTACACAAGTATAACCTAATCGACGCAACGCGCTGCATTAATATTTCTGTAACGTTAAGGAGAACCAAAACGCCTTCATTTTCGCCCGTATGCAACATAGACAACCCTAGAGCAGTAATAGTTGCATCAAATCTTTTCCATTTACTGTGCGTTGCATTAAGTGCGTCACATGTAAACGTATGGTGGATCGATTTACTCGCATAACATGAAAAATATCTTCTCAAAGTTTATCGGGCAACTGTCGACGCACCATCGGCTCTAATTTATTTCATTTTTACTTGTCGCTATACAGCATCAGCAATTAATTTTTGCAATGTTAAGCTTAATCCGATGGGCTATCTAATGTGATCAACCTAAGTCAACAGATTATAATAGGAATCACAAAGTCTCCTAACTGAACCTCTCTCATGCGTTACAGCAAGTCTTGGAACACTTTTTGGTCCTCTATCAGCCATTTTGTGTGGGCCAACGATCGATGCGTTGGGCAGGAAAAAAGGACTCCTTTTCTTTTACATAAATATGGGCCTCGGTTTTGGTTTGATCGCTTGCGCAACGGAGGTTTGGCACATTTACGCTGGACGATGCATTTGCTCCTTTGCTTTCGGTATGTACCTTTTCAGGAGATGATTGAAGTTTTCAACTCAACTGACCGAGAATAGTCAGTCCAATTCCAAATTATTCAATAGCTCTTTAGAAATAATATATCTTCATCGGATTTTTGAAAATAATCGACTTTTTGTTAGAATTATTCTTCGTCTTTCGTAAATATAAAATAAGGATCACCTGTATTTTTGTTTGTCATCAGCTGACGAATGAAATGTTGAACATTAGCAGCTATACCTGTGCACAGAAATTAATGGCATAAATAGTATTTCTAAAATGAACCAGAAATGGTAGTACCATATGGAGAACTGCTGTCCAGATGCCCCCTTTTTTTAATGGGTCAGTTGTGCTAGTCACATACTCGTGTTTTGATGCTTGATCCTTGTATAGATCACCTAAAAATAATGATTTCCGTTCAAAAAGCACCTCCCTACGTCCAATAGTAGCCGAGCTACCGCGCGTTGAAAAATTCGGTTCATGACGTCATCCGCCGGGGTAGTAACATCCTTGACCCTAGGTATCTCCTACATTGCTATCGTCCATGTTTCACATTGCGAGTGACAAGAGCAAAAAGGTGTCTCATAAATTGATGAAACCAAGGCGAGTGAAGCAAAGGGTGTTACTTCCGCGGTAGATGACGTCGTAAACCGATTTTGTCAAAACGCGATGTCTCGGTTAATATTGAACCGAGAGAGTTGCTGTTTCGGCAGATCTTATTATTCTAATCACAAGAATTAAGAATCAATACGCGATTCTGAGACCAGCGCAACTGACCCATCATTCTATCTAGAGTCCTTTTACAGAGAGAGCTGAGACAACGCGGCTTATGGATGTCACAAACGGGAACAAAAATTACACAAATCGGACGTTTTTTATAATATTCGATTAACTTATTCCCGAATTCCTACCTCCGTTCCCTCTTTCGTTTCATTGCCTCCTTGCCACACCCCTAATTTCCCAGTTCATTCCAGTTCATAGTATTTGCAATCGGTGGAAATGTAATCATTATTCCCGTTTGTGACACTGTGAAGGCCTGAAATACGGGAACCAATCAGAAATGGATTCGCATTGTCTCTATTCACAGTATAAAGGGACTCTAATGGAGATGTTGCATGTGTGAGGAATTTGCGATTTGACTATTGATTCTTGTGTAAAAGTTCGCGAGAAACACGATGGTGCCACTGGTTTCCTCTAAAATCATCTCCTATGCTCAAAAAAAGCTCTCTAAGTTGAGGCCAAAATGGAGGAGATATCTAATACTATCCTGGGAGTCCACTTCTACGTCAAGACAAACTCTCCATGCAAAGATACAAAAGTTGGGGACTCTAAAACTGAAAACACGGCAACCCTGCTAATGTATTTGCTCCCTATCTTTGCATGGAGAGTTTGTCTTGATGTAGAGGTGGACTCTCAGGATAGCGTGGGATATCCCCTCCATTTTGGCCTCAACTTGAGATCTTTTTTTGAGTTTGGGAGTTGATTTCAGAGAAAACCCGTGGCACCATCGTGTTTCTCGCGAACTTTCACATAAGAATTACCAGTCAAATTGCAAATTCCTCACACATGCAACATCTCCATTCTATCCAAATTTGTAGACTTTTCTTACCGGAGCTGATTTCCTAGGCCTGGAAGCAGTAGCGGTGGTGTACATCGCGGAAACCTGCACGGAGCAACAGCGGAGTATCTTGCTCTCTTTAAGCTCCGCCATCCTAACGATCGGGATATCGTTGACCTATTTCGTGGGGGGCTACCTGCCATGGCGGGTCGCTTCTGCTATCTTCTCCTTGGGCTGCTTCTTCTACTTCGTCGTCCAGGCCCTGGCCCCGGAGTCACCGGCGTGGCTCTTCAAGCGTGGCCGCCCCGAGACCGCCTCCGCTAGTCTCCACCGGCTCGGTCGCACCTCCGCCGCCGTCCAGAAGGAACTCAAGCTCCTTGAACTTTCGCGCGACGAGCAGGAGAGCTTCCGACTCAAAAGTCTTCTCGAACCCACCGTCTGGAAGCCCTTCGTCATAATGTTTGTCTTCCTACTCCTTCAGGTTTGTCCACTAATTTGTCTAATTTAACGAGAAAATGCGGGTGAAAAAAGTCCCAGACTTGGGCCTTGCCTCCACACGACGTTTCATGGGATGTGCTTCTGGGAAAAATCTTGCGAAGTCGGGAAAAATAATGACCTAGTCGATTTTAATCACACTACCAGGTGGAGTAATTTTGGAGTCGTAAGAGCAACTCAGAGAGAAGGGGCAGAGGTTATAGGACATTTGGACGTATTTCTATCAAACGGGACTAAGCGCCATGGAAAAGCATTGCGAGTATAGGACGGAATAAGCCGGACGCCCGATTCCGCCGCCAATCCAAGCCTCCCTCTACCTTCCTCACCCTATGGCGCTTAGGTCCGTTTGATAGAAATACGTCCTTCGTCAACGATTTTTTGTCCGCGCACCTGTTTTTTCAAGTGGTTTATGTCCACGCGTTTTTTCGGGAGGGGAGTTTAGGCCCACTTACCAAATTGAGACCCAAAGTTATACTTGGTCCCTATGTAAATACAAACGACAATTGCTCACGACGCTTTTGGATGAAAATGTATAAAGTCTTAAAAGATTGAAGGTTTGCTTGTTATTTGTTTGTTTTTTTTTTTTAATATTATTTGTTTGGTCCAACTGAGAAAAATACATAATTGAGATTTTTGGTGAAAATGGGGAGCGTCAATTCCACGAGGGAAAACCTCTTTAAAACTACACCTCTTTGGTGCAACAGGACTTGATTATTTTCCCAGAAAATCCTTTCTTGTTACACCTGAAGCGGATGAACCCTTTTTTGCCTCAGCTAAAGGCTTTTAGATTTTTCCCTGTGTACGATAACTTCGTGACGGTGTCGGCGTGCTGCGGTGCTGCGAGCTAATATTTCGCCACAGAAGTGTTGTACAGTATCATACGAGATTGAAGGCACCCCATCGTATCATGATTGATAGCATCTTTCAAAAGCATGAAGTTCCCTAGCAAATTGAGTCGAGTGATGACGACAAAATGAGAGCGGTGACTTGATTCGATCAGAAGTATGCTCAAATTTACTACCAAGAAGATTTCCTTATGTACCAATAAAGAAAATAATGCTTGTTTCAAAAGAAAAATATGCTTTTATAAAGAGAGAAAGCAGAACCCCGCTTTCGTTCCTCTGTATTATTCTTGATTCAAAATAAACTCTTCTACTTGACGGTATACTGAAGAATGTTTCTGCCTGAATCGAGTCACTCTTTTCTCTAATGAAATTCATAAATTATACTAAACGTTATCAAAAGTAGACGCTAGGACTCAGTGTGTTTTTGGGCTACCGCTCTCCTTTTGTGCCGTAGTATCTTGATTTATTTTACAAGGAAAGCTCCGTAATCTTAAAGGATGCCTGTCATTCTTAATATGTTTGAGCGCCTTCAATTTCGTATGATTCTGTGCAACACCTCTGTTGAGAAATAGTCGCTGGGCCCTATGGGGACGCCGCGGCGGGCATGTTAACGCGGATCGCGCATTGGCGCCTACAAACCTAAGGGGATACTTCAAGCATTACGCAATGCTTGAGGTATCCCTGTTGGGTTTGTAGGCTCTATGTGTTAGGCTCTAATATTCAAACCCGAGGAGTCAACGTTTTTCAACTCATGATTTTGACATGTTTGCACACTCTGCATGGATTATTCTCATTTAAATTGATGAAAAAAAGATGTATTAAAGGGAAAATATAATGTGGTTCTGTGAATATTAAGGTGGTTCCGTGTCAAATTTAATAATTTCTGAAGCTTTTTAATTTTTTTTAATATTTTGTGCTTTCGCTGTGCTATACTGCGTGGTGTACGCGGAACAGAATGCTCAAAATTGGACGTATTTGACTATGAAAGATCGATGTAAAAATGGGTCAAAACCAAAGATTGCGTGCTTCTTAGTTCTTCCCCCTCTTTTTCATTTTTGTACAGTTTCTTTCGACAAACCTACGGCTCATTGAGATTAATATCTATGTCATCGCTTGGAAAAGGTTTTACAAATATTTACCACGTTTTAAAAATGTAAACTTTTTTTTAGATAAAGTACTATTTTCATTTTTTTCTTTTTTTTCTATTTTTTAAAGGTATACTTTATATCGAAATTTTTAAGGATACCAAATATTGTCCAATGACAATTTGAAAAGATGAATCAAAAGAAGAAAGTAAAATTTCATTTAAAAAATAAGTCACCATAACAAACACCTCCTTCTCTCTCAATTTTCTCATTTCGACATTATCAATATAATTGTAAGTACGGACTATAATATAACGCTTGGACCAATTCACTGTTGCTTATTTTACGCGCGAACGTTAACGACTGATGGACATAACAGGTGCGCGGACGAAAACTCGTTGACGGAATGTCCTGAAACCGGCACACACTGGACAGACCGGAACAAACCGGTCCAGAAATTATGCTGTTTTTTTTGACGAGGAAAAACCAAGAAGTCTCATTCCTGCGATTCAAACTTGAGGCAAATCCCATGAAACGTCCCGTGGAGACACGGTCAGGAATAAGGCGTATCTGCTATATTTTTATCTTTCTTATGGGTCCTACAATAGCCTCTATTCTGTTTTTTTTCCATAAGCCGTCAATTCCTCGGGATGCGACCGATTTTGCCAGTTTCAATGTCACTACATAGGTAACATAGTGACGTATGGAAAAAATGGTCCGATCACAATCAATAGCTGAATATCGGATTTTAAATAAGATCAATTCCATTCTTTTGGCTATCTTCTTTTTGAAATAGGAGCATCCATCTACTTTTTTGGTGTGAGCTTTGTATCTGATTGTTCATTAATTTACTGATTTTTTGTCCTGTGAGTGAAGATCTAGTGTGGTAAGAAAATAGACAAATCAGAGCAGAACTGAACAAAACGGAACAAAATTAGGCAAACATTATAGAATGGAACCGAACAAAACAGAACAAAACGGAACGAGACGACGCGAAACGTAACAAAATGAGACGCGGGAAAAAAACGAAAAGGAGCAAATTAAAACAAACTTTTGTCATGGGAACGGAGTCCCCCATGATATTAGAATCGTTCCGTTGCTTTCGCTATGGGATTCCCTATACCTCTGCGACCTTGAGCGTTTCGCCCAGTCTCCGATTTTTGGTTGATTTTCCGATGTATCAAAAACCGTTGTATTTTTTAGCCAATCATGTCTCTACGTCAAGTTGTGTTGATTGCCAAAATTCGCTTTCAGCGAGTTTTTTTCCATCTTGAGATGTCGTGTCTGACTGGTAAATCTGCGCAGAACCACGAAGTTCCGTTTTTAGGCAAACTCTTTTTTTTGGGAGGTTCTGATTGGTTATTTTTCGCCATCAGTTTTCTGTTCGTTGGTGCAAAAGATCGCCTACCTCGTTGCTCTTGAGAAGCCGCCATTATCCCACCTCAAATTTGAAAAATAGAAGTAAAGAAATAATAACCATCGTACAAGGTGGAAAATTGTTCTGGAGGACTCGTTACGAATAAAGAAGTCAAAATCAGAGCTCGATTGATTGATTTAATTCATGGATACGCAAATATTGCCTTAGCTCAACTGCCGCGATCGGAATGCGTGCTGGCATGAACCTCGAGACGCATTAAAA